TAGCACCCAGAAACAGCAGTCTCATCTGTATCTGATGCTCTCAGTTGTAAACTGGGGTGAGGTGACTAGAGTAAGTACCAAAGAAGGGCCATTTCACTGTCAGCAGAGGCTCAGGCCAAGTACTGACCTGCAGTGGGGGTGGACAGAGCAAACTTGCAAACCAGATTGGGGGGAGGCTGATGGATAGGATTTTCCTGCCACTTTGATTATTTGATGGATTGTTTAATGCTGGAAATCTTGCCTCCTGAGATCAACAGGAGCCCTGTGAAACAAACCCATCTAAAACAACCACTGCAATGCTTTGCTGCAGTAGAATTATCACAGGAGGCCCTGGACTTGCTCAGGCAGAAATGAAAAGATAATGCTGATGTTCTCTATTGCCAAAGCCACTGATGGCTGGTTTTCCCTGCTAGATCATTGCAAAGTAAATAGTGTGGTAAGGGTTTGCAGAAAGGGCTACCCTGGGGAAAGCTCCAAGGAAGCACACCCTCAAGCATCACTTTTAGAGCTTTAGGTCTGCTTTACATGCTCATTTTCCCAGCGATCACATTGCTGAATACATAAAGTTGTTGTTCTTAGTGCTCACACAAATCACTCCCGCAAGGTTGCATCAACAACTACTCCCATATTACCATGGTTACATCCTTACCCCAGTTTAACCTTGCATTTCATTACCAACTAAATCCCATTCCAGCATAACTTCCAGGTTAGGAAAAAGCCCTAAACTAACAAGTTTTTTCAAAGACCAGACAAAGTCACTATGGTCTCTTCAGGAAATGGGCTCATGCTTGCATAGCAATAATGCAATTCACTTAGGGCAGGCAAACTTTCTTGACCTGTGTTTCCCTTTTTCTCATCTGCAAAGCTGAAGCATCTTTGGAGGAGTAACCGTTTCGGGTTGCTCCTGCTTTGCTGGACATGCAGTGGTTCTTAAGGGCAGGAAAGGCCATTAGGAACACTTGGCCTGGCTTTAGCAGAATAGTGTGCCCGAGCTGGGGACACCCGTACCCAGGCTTTGGGTTTTCACGCTGACTATTGAGCCAGGAAGCGACCTGCCCCTTCTATGCTCAGTGCTGGTACAGGGGCCTCCAGTGAGTGCAGAGCACTTAGTGCCAACCTCTGCTGATCTGCGCAGGCTCACATGTATCGTGCCACCAATTTGCACCTATCTGGTGGAAGGAAAGAGGAAAAGATCAACTGTTGAGCTTTTACTCAGGTGCCCTAAGACTATTCCTTGGCTTCCCAGCCCTCCTTGGATGGCAGCTGGGACCAGGGGAATTGCCAGATGGCTTGGCCAGGACAGGCTGGGAGGCAGGGATGGCACCTGACAACCAGCCCATCTTTTGCTGCACTGCTGCTGCTGGTCTCGCTCCACCTCTGGGTTTGATGCTTCACTTACATGCCCTGGCAGCACAGAGCAGCGTTCCCATCCACGGTGGGGTGTATTTAACGCAGGTCTGTCGATAGCTGAGGTGGGGAAAGGCCTTAGATATTACAGGAGGCTGGAGCCATGCTGGCAGAGGACCAGCAGGGAGCATGGGCAGTGCATGAGACCTCACAGGCACTCATCACACCAGTGGTCCATTCCCCCAGCAAAGCCAGCAGGGAAGCTGCCTGCTTGCTCCTGGCGCCTGCACCAAGCCAGCAAGAAGGGAAGCTGAGAAACAATGGGTAATACAGGAAGTTTTTCCCCAAATAAGCCCAAATAAACACATAAATGAACCGCCTGTGTGTGTGGAACATCACAGGGCAGCAAGGGTTTGCTTCCTGTGTGCAGGAAGGTGCTTGCTGGGGTAGGGGCTGGTAGGACTGTTTGAGGGGGATGCAGAGGTGACACTTCAGGAGGAGGAACCTTCTTGGATGAAGTGCCAATGCCAGTGTCACCTTGCTACCATGGTACAATTAGGAGCTATTAATTTTCATGCAGTTGGTTGTGTAATTGCGCTGCAGGGCCTTTTGAATGCTGCATTTAAATCAGTCTGCAATTGGAAATAATGAAGGTTAAAACTCTCTTACATGATTTTATGATCAAATTAGTTCCTTTGACCCAGAAAGCAGCTGTGGTAGCTGCATGAGGAACAAGACTGTAGGCTCAAGGTGTTATTCAGAGCTAGCTTTAGAAAGGTACCTCCATGCAGAGCGATTGGAGCAGAGGTTGGGAGGTGTGAGGGGCAGGAACAAGGTGGCTTTGCTGAGAGTTCTGATACCAAAATCAGGTGGTGCCACAAGGTGAAAGCCACTGGATGTTGGGGGGATGCGAGGGAGCACCCTGCACATCTCACCCTGCTCTTGCTCGTCTTGAATGTCTCTTCATAACTAATATTGAGGAGGGCTTCAGCTAAACCAAGGGAGCATTCTTCTGTTTTCACTCTGATCTGCAGTTGGGAAGAGGGCAATGACGGCTTTCACTGAGCTATAGGAACTTGGGAATCCACTTTTATCCCCTTGGGCTGTTGTTTCAACAGGCCTTCAGGACCTCAGTTAACTTCTGGCCTGCCTGTCCAGTCCACAGTTGGTCTGATGGCACTGGCTGGTCTCTGGGAGTGCATCTTGACCCTCTTCAACCTGAGTTTAAAGGAGGAGCTGGTGAGATGTTAGTGTTCTTTCAGTCCTGATCAGAAGGGGTCTGGGGGCTGCAGCGCTGCTAGGGACAGGCTGTGGTGTTCCCCTTACCTGTCTGGCCAGGGAAGAGCTCTTCCCTCTGCCAGGGAGCACCCCTGGCATGGTGGATGCAGGTTTTGAGCTGCAAATCCCTCTGGTCTTCACCCTTTCAGGGTGGCTAAGAGGTGTAGGAAGGTGTGACCCGAGGGTCCCTGCCTGCTCTGGGCAGGGGATCAGCACTGAGGGAGGCTGTGGTTGTCTCAGCACAGTTGCCTGTTCCAACAGTGAACAAGGCTCTGGGATACCCGTGACTGCCAGCTTGTGTATCAGCATCCTGGGTGATGGCTTTGTGCTGCACAGTCCCAGTGCTCCGGGCTCTGTCACACACATGGCTGCCACCCCCTGCACACTCCCATTAGCCCTGAGAGCCGGGTCTGAGTGATTCTCAGGCTTTCCCCCAGCTCTGCACCATAGACTTTGCCTCCCTTCCCTTGCATTGCCTTGCCTGAGCCTCCCTCTGCTCCTCAAGAGCCTTCTGCTCCGTGGCTGCAGCCATCTGCAGCCTCTCTGGGTCTCTGTGCTTCAGCAGCTCCCATCTGGAGCTCATCTCGGTGCTCTCTCATCTTGCTGATGTGCAGCCTCATCTGCACTGCAGAAGGGGAGAGGGACTGCGCTTCCCTTGGGATCCTGCTCCAAAACCCAGCCAGGGGATGTGAGGCACCTCTGGCCAGCATGGGCACACATTTGCCCTCCAGCTGCAGTGTTTGGCTGATCAGTGGGGAAACGCAGGACACAGAGGAGAGGGTGAAGGCTTCACAGCAGCTCTAAATCCACTCTGACCTTTCCTCCTTCCCCCCCAGACTGTGTTGCCAGTTACACCCTGAGCCCCCACATTCAACTCAGGGGCTGAAAGCTGAGATAGGGCAAGCTGTGTGAGGCAAAGCCCTTGGTTTGCATTAGGTGGTGGAAATCAGTGGCCTCCCTTACACTAAACCTGATGAGATTCAGTCAAGCCATGTGGCCAGGATGTGGCAGGGAAGATTACTGGTGGGACTCACAGAGACATCAGCTCCTGCAGGGAATGATTAGCAACTCAACATACACCTGCAGCTCCCGAGGGCCTTCAGGAACCTGATTAGGGCACTGAGTGATCTATTTATGGCAAGAGATGAAAGTCAACACTTGCAGGTGCAAGGTGCACACATATGAGTCCAGCCTGGCTGGGATCAGGAGAGATTCAGAGTGGCAGCGGGATCCAAGTGCATGGGCAGGGGATGGAAATGACATTTTTCAGGCTGTTATTTCTGCTGGGGAGTCACCTCCAGCTCTAGGAGCTGTATGAGGTTGACAGTGTTGTGAGTGCTAGAAAGAGCTAAAAAAATCCCTGCCAAGCATGGAAATAAGCATCGGTGATGGAGCTGAGAGTTGGAGATGGCAGCAGCAGCCAGTCACTGGCCAGGAGGAGCTGTGAGGCCACCAGTACCCTGGAGGAGAGAGGGGTTCCCTGGTGCTCTCATCCACAGCTCCTTCACACAGGGCATGGGAGGACCAGACGCTGTTGTTTCAGTGGTGTTAGCAGTGCATGTGGATGTGTGATACCGGTACCTCTGGCTGCTGCAGGGATTGAAGCAGGGGAACATGGCTGCTGTGCGTACCCCTGTGTTGGGATGTGCTCTGAGCCATGGACCTATCAGCTCAGCCTCTGGCAGTCTGTGTGGCCGCTGAGAAACGAGAAGGGTCACACTGAGACTGCCTCAGCCCCTACCTAGGAGCCGGGCATGTGGTGCTCGTACTGCTAGAGTGGGAAGTGTTCCCTTGGAGGACAAGCACCGCGCTGTGAACCGTGAACGGAGGCTGTGGGCAGCCTCTCATCCCTGGGATGGGCCTCCCTCTACCGGCCCTCGCCTTCAAGCTGCTTTCACCGTAACTCCCAGTGGTTAACGGTGACTTTTCCAGCCCTGCTCGGAAGAACGGAACCAGCTTTCTCTCATGAGGAATTCGATGAAGACCTCATCAAGCCGGGCGGCGGCGGCAGCTGGCGAAACAATTCAACCCGCGCCGCCCGGCAGGGGGCGCCTCCAGCCAGCGCCTCCGCCAGTCACGGCTCGCCCCGCCCACCCAGCCCCGCCCCTCTTTGTTGCCGCCCCCAATAGGAGCGCGCCGAGGGCGGGCGGACGGGCGGCCGGTAGCGTGGTAACGCGGTGGCATGGATCGCGGCGGGGGGCGCGCCCGGGACCGGGGCGAGAGGGGCCGGGTCGGGGCTCCCGGGATGAAGCAGCAGCCGTGAGGCGGCCCGCTGTTAGGGAGAGGCCGGTGCAGAGCTCAGCTTCCTTTGCACACCTTAATACACACGTAGATATATATATATATATATAATATAGGGAGAGGGTTCGAGCGGCGGCGAGGCGGCGGGGCGCCTCCCGACAGTGGTCCTCGGGCTCGGGCATGGCCGTGGGGCGATGACGGGCGCGGCGGCGGTCGGCGGTGGTGCCGGGAGGACCCGCCGTGCGGCGGCCGGCAAGGACGGGGGCCGGTCGCGGAGCGCCCAGCCGCGGGCGGCGGGGGGCGGCGGCGGCGGCGGCGGCTCGGAGGAGGAGGAGCAGGAGCAGGAGCAGCAGCGGGACGGCGGCTCCCTCTTCCTGGTGAACAAGAGCGGCTTCCCCATGGACGGGCAGACCTGGGAGCGGATGTGGGGCCACGTGGAGAGGGTGCACCCCGACGGCGGCGCCGTGGCAGCGGCCATCCGGAGCGCCGCCCGCCTGGCTCGGGTAAGGCGAAGCCCCTGGTCCCCTGCCCAAAGAAAGAGCCCAGAGCCGGGCATCGCGCAGCGCTCAGCGGTCTGGGGGTGCCGAGGGGTCGGGAGGGAGGGTGTGAGGCCTCGCATCCCCTGCCCGCTGCAAGCGGCAGCAAGGGGAAAGCTGGAGCATCCGCTGTTCAGGAGCATGTAGGGCACGGGGACATGTGCTGCGGGATGCTTCAGAGCTGGAGTTGGTGTCTTGGGAAACTAGGAGGAAAGAATTATCATCTCCTTTTATCTTGGGGAAAAGAAAGCGGGAAACGAGTTAAAAGAAATCTTCAAGGACCGAATGAAGCGTTTTGTGCAATTTAAAGCACCTTTGCGCAGCTCTTTAGAACACGGGCATTTCCTAAAACACAGCTTTGCTCCGGAAACGTAATAACGGATTTAAAACTCAGGCGTTTCATTTCCAGTAGGTGGAAAAATTCCAAATGCTTTTGTCTTCTGTGTTCTTCTGTACAAGCTCCAAACAGCTCTGCCTGACCCAAGCCTTTTTCCTCCAGCCAGCAAATAAAATGCTGTTGCCTGCTGATGTTCCAAGGCTTCCCACCACTGCACCACATTACTGCTCACAATGTCTTTAAGGCTGTTGGCTTTGGCAGGCTTTGAGCTCGATCCGCTCCTCCCACCAAGCAGCATTAATCTGAGCTGACCACTGAAGTCGGCTTTGAGACATACCCTACTCTCTCTCCATGCTGGGGTGAGGTGTTTGGGCTGGTGTTGTGGTCCAGGTTGTCAGTACTATGTGTGCAAGGGAAATACCCTGTGCACAGAGAAGCTGGAAGTGTGTTGAGTAGGGCTGTGTTGTGAGGGAGCTTGTCAAAGAAGATGTAAGCTGAAAAGGCCTTTCTTGTCTCTTCTGCAGTGTTTTAGTTCTGCCGAAGTGCAATCCCTCTCTCTCTTGCCCTGCTTCCCTCATGCTGGCACAAGCCTTTGTTTGGATGGGGGAACACATCCAGCTGAAGAATAATCTGTTTACACTGGGTTTGTTTGCAGTTCCTTGATGTGGTTTATCTCATACTTGCACAAGTGCTCGGGATAGAAATGAAGGGGTAGGGAGAGGACAGAATTTCCTATTTCAGCAGCATGACCAGCTTACACTGTACCAAATGGCCTGTAGATCTGTTTGGTGTTAAGAGACAGCAAAGAATATGCTGGGCTTGACTTCCTTGCCCTCCTTCCTAGCTTCAAAGCATATAACTTTTACTGGTGATACCCCTAGTGACTGACAAAGCATCTGGTGAGAGATGTCAGTGGCTCCAGTGGGCTGTGATTAGCTTCTTCACAGAGTCACAGTGATTAACTTCTTCAAGGGCAGGAGGAGCTGGTGTCCCCTCTGACTGATGAGCTCTTGCTGGAGAAGCCTGAAACCTCTGGGGCTGGAGGGTAGTTTGTCCTTATTATAGGCTAACACAGATCAGATGAGCAAATTAAGGCTGGGAGCAGGTTTGTTTGCTACTGAAGGGTAGTGGGTTCCTAATGTAATGGTAACTTCTGGGTCAGAGTAGGAACGTGAGGGGGGAATTGTTCCTTAAATGATGGTACATTCTTCTTTAGCTGGGTATGTGGCACTCTGCAGAAGCCCTAAAAAGCACTGATTGGGAGTGAGGAGAGAAGCTTGTGCCTGCCAGAAGATGTCTGTAATCCGCTTGCACTGGTAGTTGGTGGAGGCTGAGCAAGTGGTGCGTGCAACTGCTCCATTTTTGCCTCTGATCTGTTCTTAATCCCTAGTGATGGGAGAGAGTTTTCATCCCCTCCCCAGGAAGCTTCACTTGCTTGCTCTAATCATCTTGGTATTAATCTCTGTGATCGTACACGCAGGATGGTAAGTGGCTGCTTAGTGCATTGGTGAGGCTGTCCTTACTGGAACAAATGCAAACTGCAGGGTGCATCTCTCCTGGGGTGCTTGCTTGTCTGCAAGGGGGGGGGGCAGTTTCTGGACCTGTGGGGTCCTTTGGTTACACCTTCCACCTCTGACTTTTGGCTTACGCTCTGGGAAGGGTGCAGGCTTGTGTTTGGAAGGGCTTTGTGATCCTTTACGTGGCCTGTGATCTTGGAGGTGCTTGTAGATCTTAATGAAGCTCAGACCAGGTCTAGCCTGCCAGCTTTGTCCGTGCTGAGTAGCAGTGTACTTGGAGGGCAAGCTGTCAGAAAATGACTTTCTGGTCATTAAATGAGACAGAGCGGAGCTGAGCAGGATGACTTTGACACAGGATGTCTGCGGTGAACTGAGACTATGGGGTTTCTGGCTATAGGACAACAGCCTCCAGCTCTGCCACGAGGTTTTGCACTGCAGCAGCTCTGCTGTCTTTGGAGCTGCTGCTGCTTGAAATCCTGATACAGGTTCAAGGTCTTCCACCTGCCTGGTCTCTGAATCTCTTGTTCTGTAGTGCTGTGTCTGCGTTTCCTCCTGGTGGCTCCTTGCAGCTGTGCTGGGATGCACACCGGTGTCTGCAGCCTCGGCAGCAGCAGCATTGTGCTGTCCTTCGCTTCTGGATGCCCAGGCTTCTGCTCTGTGCTGGGTGGCCAGGGTTGCTGCTCCTGCAGCCAGGGTGAGGAATGTGGGAATGGGGTTTGTGTTTGGAGGCAGTGGTGGCCTGTCCTGGCTGGTGGGACCGTGCTGCCTGTCTGGCCTGGAAAGAGGAGAGCAGTGCACAGTCTTGCACAGGGGAAGACTCTGCTGCTTCTGCCCTGTTACCTGAGATCTGGAGGGGCTTGGACCTCCTGGCCTAACAGACAGGTGATTGGGATATGCATCAGCTGTAGGGAAAACCGTGGTTAATAATAGAATCACAAATTGGTTTGGGTTGGAAAGGACCAGCTCCAACCCCTGCCATGGGCAGGGACCCCTTCCACTAGAGCAGCTTGCTCCAAGCCCCTGTGTCCAACCTGGCCTTGAGCACTGCCAGGGATGGGGCAGCCACAGCTTCTCTGGGCACCCTGTGCCAGCGCCTCAGCACCCTCACAGGGAAGAGCTTCTGCCTTAGATCTAACCTGAACTTGCCCTGTTTCAGTCTGAACCCATCACCCCTTGTCCTATGGCTGCAGTCGCTGATGAAGAGTCCCTCTCCAGCATCCTTGTAGCCCTCTTCAGACACTGGAAGCTGCTCTGAGGTCTCCACGCAGCTTCTATTCTCCAGGCTGAACAGCCCCAGTGCTCTTTCCAAGCATGCTCCAGTGGCCGACAGGATCATCCTCAGCCTTGGAGATGAAAGGCACCTCGCCTGCGTGTCCAAACCCCACCACCGTGGCGAGGGTGAACCCTGTGGGTCACATCAGGGGCTGTATCTGTCCCACAGCCAGGTGAGGGCAGGGGCCTCCATGTTATGTCCCCCCCGCCCAGCCACACTGCAGCCTCCAGGCCTCTCCCTGCCTGGGACTCCCATTGCCTCAGAATGTCGCTACCTTTGAAGAAAAGGAGTGTTTCCATCGGAGCAGAAATAACCCCTCTGGGAGGATTTGAGGGGCCGGCCTCAGTTCCCCCTTTCTGACTCTTGCTGGCCTGCCTTAGTGCCAGGAGGGACAGGGCAATAATTCATCCAGAGCAAAGGGGCCAGAAGGACCTTGTGCAACTGAGGAATTCCCGCTAGATTGGGTAAGATTGGGTGTGGAGATGGTGATGAAGAAGTGCTAATGAGACTTGAGCAAGGCCTGTGGGCCCGGTGTCTCCCATGTGGCGCCGGACATGGCGGCCCGGAGCTGGAGGCTGCCCGTCTGCTTGCCACTGAAAATACGTTTCTGTGCCCCAGTGATGTAGGAGTCTGTAGTTTGTGACTTCCCCTTTCTCTGGGGTGTATTTGCTATTGATTGCAGTAACAAGCTACATGTAGTGAAGGCTGGGGTTTGGTTGGCTTGGGATTACCAGTGCTTGCTCTCTGACGGCAAACACACAATCCCTCCATCATAGCGGAGCCGGGGACCAGGGAGGAAAACCTGCGTGGTGCAGACAGCCCCAAACTGCCTGAGCTGCCTTTTCTCCCCTGTAATCGCTGACTTGAAGGGTGTTTAGAACAGTGATGCCTCCCTTTGACACTCAAAGTGGTGTGAGGACGTCGTGGCCCCACACACCCTGCGCGCTTTCCTTTGCGCCTTGTGTCATGGCTGCCTGAGTTCCTGAATTCGGGTCTGCGTTCATGTTTAAATAAACTGCTTCCCCCACTGTATCTGTGGGGATTGTCCTAACATCTCTTTAGCCATACAACCCGCTGTAACATCTGCTGGCCCCATAGTTTACATCCTCACCCCTAAAATTAAGGGGACTTGTGACAAGGCCGTGCCCCCTTCCTGTGTGGTTACAGGCTCAGGAGCCACGTAGCTGCGGGGATTAAACATAGGTTGAGGGCTTCTTAAAGTGCTTAGGCACAAGCAGATGTCTGATGGGATTTGGGAAAAATCCCATTACATTGCCCGTCTATATCTTTAAGTGTCTTAATATCATTAAATACCTGGGTCCGAGGCAGTGCTCTGGGTCCGACACGCGCCCTGCCCAGCGAGTGTGCTGCTGACACGGAGCAGATGGGGAATTATGCAGCCCGGGATCCTTGTCTCCTTTTATCTTTCTCGTGATCGAGGAAGCCAGGAATTAGACTTGAAAGCTCTTGGGGGAGGGAGGACAGCAGAGCCAGTGCCTGGGACTCTGCTCATCCCCATTGCCCTGTGCTAGAGGGGGACATGGGAAGCATTGGCCTCCTGCGCTGGCCGGCCCGTGTAGGGTGGTGGTTGAGGGATGTGGTTGGGACCTGCCCTGGTCTCTCCACGGTGGCAGGGATGGGGCTGGCTGTGGTGCATGGGCAGCCCCTGTTGTAAGCAGGATGCTTGAGTTCACACGGGGTTTAAGTCATCTGTGCTGCTGCATTGCGTCGCACGAAGCACATGCCGCTGCCCAAGTGAATCACTTAGGGGCTCTGCGGGGAGCAGCTCCTGTCTAACCTCTTTATCTTCTCTTTTATGTCCAGCCCTCAGTGCCACCGGTGCCAAACTACAAGCTCTCCATGTCAATCCCAGAATGGCTCCAGGCAGTACAGACCTACATGAAGATGCTGCAGTATCCTTCTCCAGCATGCGGTCTCCAGATATAAGGCTGGCTTGTGTCCGGCATGAATTAACAGGGACTTTGCGGATTGCGAGAGCTTGGGGATCGTTTAGGGGTGAAAGGATGCTTCAGGATTTGTTTTAGCACCTGAAGCAGTGAGCTTGTCACAGCAATTCTTTGGGTGGTGTAATTAACTTTAAATGATGCTGAAGACTTTAACTGAAGTGAGGGTGGTGGGAGTAGATATACTTTGTGAAGCTGGTTTATGAGGATGTTATGATCGGATCATGATGCCTGGAAAAATAATGTGGCATCTTGTCATAAAGCAGCTAAAGGAGAGGCGTTGTTGTGACAAACCCTTCCTGCCTCTGCCCTGGCAGCCCCTGCGGGCTCCCTGAGGGCTGCCTGCGTGCTCAGCTTGCAGGGAGTGCTTGTCATTGGGGTGGGGAGCACAAGCCCTAGCCATGAGGTGGGCAGGCTTGCCCTGGACACAGGAACTGACCAGAGCAATCCCCCCTTCCCAATGTTGTGCTTTACTTGGGGGTTCATCAGGGGTGTACGCATCTGTTTGTCTCATGCCTAAAACCTGACTGTTTTCATCGCTGGCAGATGATATTGGAGGAGGCAGTTGCTGGCCCAGATGCTGCTCTTCCCTCTGTTTTCACAGAATCATAGACTCAATGAGGTTGGAAAAGCCCTTTAAGCTCACCCAGTCCAACCATTGCCCAGCACTGCCAAGGCCACCACTGACCCATGGCACTGAGGCCTCATCTCCACGCTGTGTGAACACTTGCAGGGACGGTGACTGCAGCCCTGCCCTGGGCAGCCTGTTCCAATGCTTGAGCACCCTCTGAGGCAGGAATTGTTCCTCAGCTCCATCTAACCCTGCCCTGGGGCAGCTTGAGGCCGGTTCCTCTTGTCCTTGTTTCCCTTTTTTCTAAACTGCCATTTTATGTGTATCTATGTGTGTGTGGGGGGGGGGGAAGCAGGGGTATGAGGAATGAATGTCAAGTCCTGGTAAGGATTAAGAAGGGATATGGGTGGCAGCTGGAAGAGCATCCAAAAATAGCAGCCTGCTGGGGAAGAGTGGTTGGGATCAAGGTGACAGCAGGGGCTGGAGCCGCAGCAGCTGCCTAGGGGATGGTTTTGGAATCCTTCACTGCCACGTAGCAGGAGCAGGCCTTAGGCAGGGGGTTTGCATCAGTGTTCAGAAGAGATTCAGAGCGGGCTGCAGAAATGGGGTCTGGGCTTCCTTTGGAGGCAAAAAGAAGCTGTATGCTTTGTTCAGGGCACTCTGAAAGGACCTCATGAATTAGGGTTTGAAGGGAAAGCCTCCTTTTTGGAGAACTCTGAACTATAATTGTAATCACTTCAGAGCATCCTGGTGTGAGCTGGGGTTCTTATTCAGGCCATGGTTATACTGCTAGCAGCTGGGCTATTTATGCCTTGCAGGGCACCCTTTGCCTCCATGAGGTCACCTGTTTCTGGCCTGGTATCACCACCACTATTTTACTGGTGGGGATATTCTTGTGGGGATGTTGGGAAATAGGCTGGGAACAGATTTATTGGGAAAATAACCTTGCAAAAGTGCCTGGGTGATGGGATTTTTATTTATTTGTAATTATTATTTTTTGAGCTGGAGATGGTGTTTTTGTCATGTTTTTACTGGCCAGATCAGTTTCCTGATCTGATCTACTTAAACAGGGGGAGTTCAGGTTAGATCTAAGGCAGAAGCTCTTCCCTGTGAGGGTGCTGAGGCGCTGGCACAGGGTGCCCAGAGAAGCTGTGGCTGCCCCATCCCTGGCAGTGTTCAAGGCCAGGTTGGACACAGGGCCTTGGAGCAAGCTGCTCCAGTGGAAGGGGTCCCTGCCCATGGCAGGGGTTGGAACTGGGTGAGCTTTAAGGTCCTTTCCAACCCAAACCATTCTATGATTCTGTTACTACTTGAACAGCTCTGCTCAAGGAGCAGGGAAAGGGCTGCTTTTGGTGATGCTACACTGTATGGTAGCTTGCACTGCTAGCCAAGTGGTGCTGAGGTTTGGTTCATGGGTGACTGGTGGCATCCTCTGTAATGAACTTTTCTCCTACGCTCCTAGTGTTAACTAATGTTCTTGAGTTGCACTTAGCTGGTTATTTCCATTCCAAGTGCACTGTGTAGACAGTGATTTATAATTCCTAGGTGTAAGTGGATGTGCCTGCTGTGCTTTTGGTTTACAGATCATACATGAGCTGTGTGGCTGATGGAGTTATAAAATCTTACAAAGGAAATAGGTTCTTTCAGACCATAAGTTATACTGATTGGTTTGAGTAGAAAATAAAAGCTTTCTCTCACCTAAACGTGAGATTTTATGTTTCAAACTTGTAACCTAATATTCGGTGGGACCCTGAAATGCCAAATTTAAGTGTTGTCTCAGACAAACAACCTTTTTGCTTGACTCCACCTAATACCGGTTAACGTCATATGAAAAGACAAGTGAATAATTGCTTTATTTCACATGTGAGGTTTTCGGTTCTTAGAGTCAATGTCTTTTACTGCTTGTTTCACATTTCAAGAGGCAATCAGAACTGCAGCTCACCTTGTGAGCATTGCTTTTTCATTGTTTGACTGTTGAAGTTACTTTCCTTTAACAGATAAAATTCAGATACAATCACACAGGAACACAGTTCTTTGAGATTAGAAAAACCAGACCTCTAAGTGGGTAAGTGTCTCTGGTAGTGCCTGAGCGCTCTTGTCCCACCTCACTCCAGCTCATCACCTTGAGCATTTAAGCACTGTAGCACCATGGCATGAGAGGGCTGTCTCCTCCGTGCCACGGCTCCTCTGGCAGGGCCAAACCCAGTTCTTGCTTGGTGGTGTTGGGCTGGGAGGGCTGGGCTGTTTTTATGGAGGCTATGTAAGTCCTGATATTCTGATTGTGCTGTAATGCCCTTTGCTAATGGTAGGAAGGGATCAGCTTCTGCCTAAGAGCTCAGCTCAGTCTCCCCTCTGGCAGGTTCAAGCCATTCCCCTTGGCCTGTCCCTACAGGCCCTTGTCCCAAGCCCCTCTCCAGGTTTCCTGCAGCTCCTTCAGGCACTGGAGCTGCTCTAAGGTCTTCCCTTCAGGAGCCTTCTCTTCCCCAGGCTGCCCCAGCCCAGCTCTCTCAGCCTGGCTCCAGAGCAGAGCTGCTCCAGCCCTTGCAGTATCCCCATGGCCTCCTCTGGACTGGCCCCAACAGCTCCACGTCCTTATGCTGTGGGCACCAGAACTTCACACAGTGCTGCAAGTGGGGTCTCATGAGAGCAGAATAGAGAGAAGAATCCCCTCCCTCGACCTGCTGGTGATGCTCCTTTTGATGCAGCCCAGCACACGTGTGGTTTCTGGGCTGCAGCGCAGGAACTTGAGCTGGGGCGTGTTGAGCTTCTCACCAGCCAACGCCCCCAAGTCCTTCTCCTCGTGGCTGCTCTGAGTCCATTCTCTGCCCAGCCTGTGTTTGTGCTTGAGATTGCCCTCACCCAGGTGCAGGATCTTGTACTTGGCCTTGTTGAACTTCATGAGGTTGGCATTGGCCACCTCTCAAGCGTGTCAAGGTCCCCGTGGATCCCATCCCTTCCCTGCTGTGTGTATCCAGCTCTCCTGAGCTGTCTGTCATTAACCTAATGGTCCTTCACTGTAAATTCCAGTTCCCAGTCCAGCTCTGCACTTCAGGTTTCCATCTTGGTGGCAGCTATGTTCCTTTTTCTGTGTCATGTTCACTGCACTGGTGGAGCTAGCTTACAAGACATCTTGTGCCTTAAATGATAGATGGGTTTACAGAAGCTTAAACTGATTGCCATTACTTTCTTCCAAGGAGGTGGAGGATGAACATGAATTGTGCTCAGCACTCGCCACTTGAAAGGTCAGCGTCCTCCTGGGCTGGATAAAAGCCTGGCTTGTGAGGACAGTACTCTTTCCTGGAAGGGAACCAGTATAGTACTCACAGCTGCAGATGTACCCGTGGCTTTAGATCCTCTCCTAAGTGGTGCTGTTTCCTCTGCCTGCCTGCCTCAGTGTTTGCTTGGGGACTCATGTCTTCTCTCCTTGTCCTGTTGCCGTTAGAACTTCTGTGGATGACTTGGTATGTGGTGTCAGGAGTTCTGCAGAGTTAAGGAGAGTGCCTTGGGAAATGGTCTTACCCCTGTACCTGGTGTATGCTGGACTTGCACAGTGATACATCCTAAGACATGTGCTGCTTTGCTCCTGGACCTGATGGACAGGTGCTAGGAGCAATGGAGCTGTTAGGAGCATCTTAGCTGCCCAGATCCTGTTGTACTGCAGCGGGCTTGAGCGTTTGCCTAACTTTAAGAAAGGGTATAACGTGTTGATTGCCTTGTTAAAGTTGGGTGTCCCTGAAGGCAATCATAGAATCAGCCAGGTTGGGAAAGCCCTTTAAGCTCCTCCAGTCCGACCATTCCCCAGCACTGCCAAGGCCACCACTGACCTATGGTACTGAGGCCTGGTCTCCACGCTGTGTGAACACTTGCAGGGACGGTGACTGCAGCCCTGCCCTGGGCAGCCTGTTCCAATGCCTGAGCACCCTCTGGGGCAGGAATTGTTCCTCAGCTCCATCTAAACCTGCCCTGGTGCAGCTTGAGGCCGGTTCCTCTTGTCCCATCCCTTGCTCCTTGGGAGCAGAGACTGATGCCACCTCACTACAACCTCTTGTCAGGGAGTTGTAGAGAGCAAGAAGGTCTCTCTGAGGGATGTTATTCCTCCATGGGGCTGTGTGGCTGGTGTCCATACCAGCTGAGCATACCTTCTCGTGCAGTTGTCCTTGGCAATTTGTTCTCCTGCTGCCAGGCCAGTTTCCATCAGAGCCGGAAAGCCATCCACACCTGCAAGTGTGTTTTTCTGGGTGGGGTGTTCCACTTTGTAAGGACTCTGCTTCCAGCGTGGTGACAACAGGCGCCTTGTGTGAGGTGACAAGCGCTGCTCTCAGCAGCTTTCTGTGACGTGAAAGGCCTCGCTTGCTCCAAGACACAGTTTGTATTTGCAAGTTAATCAGGCAAGATGCTGAGCGCCTCCAGTTGCTCTTAAAGCTGAGGCTGTTCCCAGAGCTGTGATTTATTGGTATTAAGCATATTGCTTATAATACAACAGCTCAAAGCTAATGAAAGTATTGCAGGATCTTTGGCAGCCTCTCCTCAAGAGAGCCGTGGCCGGACACAAAGAAACTGCGCACTAGATGGAAACTGAATATTCATAAATCCATGCAAAAGTGTCTTAAAGCAGCTGGGGCATATTAATGAGTTTTTCTATTATGGAGTGAGGTCTGGATATTAGAGATTTACTGTCAGCATTGCTGTGATGCCTGAGAAAATCAAAACGCTTGGCTGCGCTTGGAAGGAAGAGCGTAAGTTATCTATAGGAACTTAACAACGTTAAGAGACACGGGCTTGCTTCAATTCAGTATTTACAGTCTCTCTTAAGGAGAAGTCACTGTTAGCTATCAACCTGCTTCTAGGCTGCCAGACACCCTGTGGACTTGTCTAGACTACAGATAATGCTTTTGAAAGTGTGAGGCTTGTGTTGGTTGTAGCAGTGTGAGGCAGGGTGGTAGAGATGGGATCCTGCAAACTGCATGTGGTGTTCCTGCTGTACTGGCAAACTCCGTCTGAAAGCGTGTCTGTGTTTAACCTGGGCTGAGTTTGTAGTATTTACACAGACCCCAGATTTACAGGTGTGGCTACATCTATCATAAGAGTGCTTTGCTAATAGAGAATACAGGTATCCTGACCCAGGATGGTGTCCTTTGGATAGGCTTAGTAATGCACCCTTTTGCAGTAGGTAGGTAAAGGGCACCCTGTGGAGTTCAGCTCCACATTTAAGTGTTTCAGACCCTGGTAGGGCTGGTTTTCCTTTTCCTGTACAGGGTTCTGCTGGAAAAACGTATATTACAGTACAAGTGGCTTGGTAAAGAAATGGGACCTTTAATTGAAATGAGAATTCTTTAAAACTTCCAAGCTTAGATCATGTAAGAGCTTTAAGAGGGGGAAAAAATAATGTATTTCACTAATGAATGTGAATTGAATGCCAACAAGCTTTCATTACTGGCTTTACAAGGAGCAATAAGCCCTCTGCAAGCTTCTGTTCTAGCATGCAGGCATGAACCACAAGGAACAAATACCTTTGTCCCCCACACAGTATCTGGGGAGGGTGTAGCTAGATGCAGTGTTGTGCTGCTCCCTCCAGTGCCAGCTGATCAGTGGGGCCTCTGAAGCAAAACCTGATGTCTGGGGGCTTTGAGGGGCTGTAACACGGCTCTGAAGCTGCTCTGTGAAGATGGAGGCACATTGAGTGACTGCAGATATAATGGGTAATCAATTGTAATAAAAGAGTGTGATAGAAGCAGTCACGTGGGAGCGATGCAACCAAAGAACAGTGAAGGGGGGACAGAAAATAACCCTGTTTCAACACACCACATTATTAAGGAACCCTAATGGGGCTGTAAAGAAAAATGGGCTCGTACCATTTGCAGACAATAGACTGCAGAAGGCATTTGAACATCTGCTGCTCTCTCGCACAGAGGGAGAACGTAATGGGTATGGTGCTATGTTCAGCATGTGGGAGAAGTGCTTTTAACACTGAAACAATTGGGTTTTGAGAAGAACCACAAGAGCAGTAGCTGCTCTCCTGTTTTATCTCCTGTCAGTGCCTTTTCATGTCTCTCTTGCCTTCATTGGGAAGAATAAAACTGGCAGGAGCCTTAGAAAAACTTGGGAGAGGGGGATTTCGTGGACCTCATGTGAGTCCAGGGGGCTGGGGAAGGATAAGTTTGTTGAAAACGTGCTAGAGAATCTCACTAATAGGAATCTTATTGGAGTCTGTAGACAGAGCCTTTCTGGTGAAGATAATGGACAACCTCTCCCCGTCATCTCTGAAGTGACTGCAGTGTGATGGGTGCCTGGATCCTCTAGGTTTGGGCGTGCTTAAAAAGGCTTGAAGCTTTTTCTAACCTAAATATGAAATTGGGTGCCTTAGTGAAAAATCTGGGGGCCAAAGGAATTATGGTTCTGAAGATGCTGCTGTTTGTAATGAGATCATCCTAGAGAGCAAAACCAGCTCCAGGGGACCCCTCTTACTGCAGAAAGCAAGAAATCCAGGTGGGCTCCTGAAAACACTGAGCTATGTGTTGAATAAGAGAGTCAATGGACAACAAAATGTCACCATCTGCCAAGGTTTAGATCGCAAGGGAGGAGCATGCAGCTACGCCTGTCGGAGGCAGAAGTGCTCACTATGATCTGCAATAGAGCTCTGCCTGGCAGACTTCACACAGTGGTGTAAATGCCACAAAGAGGGAAGCTATGAGATGCTTATTTCTGCCTGCAGCAGTCTCCCTTGAGTTACTGGAAGAGCTGGGCTGCCCCATGCTCACTGGGGTCTTGTGGAGAAGAGGGACTTCGGGCTAGTTCCCACCTACACGATGTCATATGGCAGAAAGTACTGCTTTAGCCATAGGCATGGAATCTTTTTGGATAACTGGAAAGATTGAAGGAAAATCCCAGAAACGAACCCTGCTCAGGCTTGATGCTGGGTGCTAATTCTTCTCTCTCTTCCCCTTCAGTCTTCATGCACAAGTTTAACCATGCAGACCTTCTGGTCATGATTACCAGCTGAGACAGAGAAGTAGGAGTGCAACAAAGGAGGGACAGGACAAGTCAAAGAGTGCTTGTAAGGAGTTATTTTCAGGTGAGCTGGATGCTCTATCATCTGTCCTAGATCACCTCGAGAACTGACAAGCAACCTCCAGACCATTAAGGAACCCTGATGGGGCTGTTCATCTGCACTTTCAGGGTGAATGATAGGCATTGTGGATTTAATTTGGCACGGTTTGTTTCTGATACTTTCCTTCTGTGAGGATATAAGAGCTTTTGTCCAGGGAGAAGTTGTGGATGTGGTAATTCTTTGGTATAGTATGGCTTTTGGCAGCCTCCGGATAAGGCAGGGTCCTTGAGTCTAAATAAAACTATTGAACATAAGGACCTAAGGTAGAAAGCAGCACCTAGAAGGTGGTGCTTAAGCAATAGCTTACTCTTGCCTAGCAGAGTTTGTTAGATGAGGTCTGCAATCTCTGTCCCAGGTCAATGTTTTTTCATTAATGGTATGGACAGTGTTACTGTTTGCTAGTAGATGTGCTTTGTGGTCCAGGCTGGACAAGGTGACAAGGCTTTGCAAGGTGGATTTGGGTTTCAGAGTAGTCTTGAAGGGTAGGAGAAAGCTGGGCTTGAACAAACAGCAGGTAAATTAGTAAGGGCAAATACAGAGGAGGGCTTAGGGAATAGCCAGCTGTGGGAATACAGAGTGGAGAATGAAAGGCTAGTTTTCCAAAGAAGGAGCTGATCTTAAAACAAATCTCAACCAACAAAACCGCAAATGCCCAAAATATTCAGTGTGGGTCAACAGGGGGAAAAAGCCAACAGCACACTGGGTTGATCATAAAGTTATCCTGAAAGCTGGATTCAGCAGGAATTGGTCTGTTTGTGGTGTGGTGGGCTTAGCTGGAGGACTGTGAAATGAGGGTCGGTTGTGACAGTTCAAAAGGAAAGGGGCAAACATTGCCCAAGAGCTAAAAACCAGGACCCTGAGGGGGAATATTTGGGGTAAGAGAGGGAGGGATTAAACAAAATGAAGCTCATGTTTACAGAGGAGAGAGTAGGTTCCAGCCTGTTGCAGATAGAAGTGTGTGTTGCAAGAGCACAGGTAATAAATGGTCTCAGAGCCCACTGTGGATAGCAGAAATAGCTTCTCATTTAAATAGCAAAAAAGGAATGATTTAGTTTGAATGTTAGGGGGACCTTCTTAGATGCAAGGTTAAGTATAGGATGGATGAACTGGTGGCTTCCCAAGCCTTTGTGAAACTGGTTAAAAGTAGGTTGGAAAATTATCTGTGAGGAGTGATTTAGATTTGGCTTATGCTACCTTGGGCAGAGCAGTGGCTTGTGGATTCTCCAGAGGCTCTGCTTCCAATGCAAACATGGGGTTTAAAGCCATGCTTCATTTCCAGCTTGTTAGAAGTGGAATAAAAGCTCTTGGTGGCTGTTGAACTGGGTCACCCTGTGGTCTGTGCTGGAAACACAGAATAAAAGCAAACCATTTGCAGTGTTCCCAGCGCTCTGGGATGGCTGTGGGAGAGCATGACCTGCCCTGTGGTGCAGGTGGATGCCTGTTTGCTGATCACTGGTGCTGCCTCCTCATCGATGCTCCCCTTGCACAGACCCTCATCACTGTCATGGTCCTGAGGCCATGGCTGTCTCTGAGCTGCCAGGCCCTGGGTGGCCACTGAGCTGCAGCTCCTGGGCCTGCTTTGAGCAGGAGGTGGGACAGGAAGGCTTCCTGGGATCCCTTCCAGGCCTGGCTCTCCTGGGATGCTGTGTGAAGGGAAGGGAGGGCTGCTGCTAGCTTCAGAAGTGCCAGCCACGGTACCCATGCATGAGTTTTAAGCAAGCAAAATGCCTTTCCTGTTAGATTTAAATCTGTCTTAATAACCATGTAGCACCCTGGAGAGCTTTGCTTCAGAACCAGCTTCTTGTGCTTGTGGCTTGTGTGTCTTAAATACCATTTAATATTCCAATAGAATCTTAGAATCACTCATTTTGGAAAAGACCCTCAAAATCAGAGTCCAACCATAAATCTAACGCTGTCAATTCCACCACTAAACCATGTCCTTAAGTGCCACATCTGCTTGTCTTTTAAATGCCTCCAGGCATGGTGACTCAACCACTTCCCTAGGCAGCCTGTTCCAGTGCTTGACAATCCTTTCAGTGAAGGAAGTTTTCCTTATATCCAGTCTGAAGTGCTCCTGGCACAACTTGAGGCTGTTTCCTCTCATTTTAATGCTTGTTACTTGGGAGAAGAGGTATTCACCTTGCTGTCACCTCCTTTTGCATGCTTGTAGAGAGTGCTAAAGGCCTCCCCTCAGCCTCCTTTGCTGTGACAGGTAAGTCAGTAGTAGTTTGACCAGTCATTCAGACCCATTACTTTGAAGACTTCTTTCCTGGTGGCTGTGGAGCCATTAATGTTATCTCCATGCAGACAACACCCTGAAATCATGACAGCAGTGAGCTTATACAAGCAAGTGTGAGGAGACCTGATGCTGCACATGGTGATGAGGCACTCCAGTGCAGTTACTGTGTTTGCCTGGCGGCTGGCAGCAGGGCCAGTGTGGAGGAGAAGATGTAGAGGAGGTACAAGGAGGTCCCATGGACCATGCCAACCAGGTCCAAGGTTACCATCACACTAAATATCTTAAAGCTAAATAGCTTTACAACTTGAGTTTCTGATGCACATTAATAATCACGGCATCAGGGAATTCAGTGGATTGCCTTGTTCGTGGATGCCTCCCATGCATCATAGAATAATTAGGGTTGAAAAGGACCTCAAGATCATCCAGTTCCAACCCCTGCCACGGGCAGGGACCCCTTCCACTGGAGCAGCTTGCTCCAAGCCCCTGTGTCCAACCTGGCCTTGAACACTGCCAGGGATGGGGCAGCCACAGCTTCTCTGGGCACCCTGTGCCAGCGCCTCAGCACCCTCACAGGGAAGAGCTTCTGCCTTAGATCTAACCTGAACTTGCCCTGTTTCAGTTGTTGGGCTGCATTAAAAGCAGTGTGACCAGCAGACTGAAGGAGGTGATCCTGGCCTCTGCTCTGGTGAGACCCTGCTTGCAGCACTGTGTGCAGTGTTGGTGTCCCCAACATAAGAAGGACACGGAGCTGCTGGAGCAAGAGCAGAGGAGGCCACAAGGATGCTCAGGGGCTGCAGCACCTCCCCTATGGAGCCAGGCTGAGAACATTGGGGCTGTTCAGCCTGGAGAAGAGAAGCTGCGTGGAGACCTCAGAGCAGCTTCCAGTGTGTGAAGGGGCTACAAGGATGCTGGAGAGGGACTCTTGCATGTGATACTTCTCTGGACGAAGACGGGGCTTTGCAGTGGCAACTGCTGCGACCAGCGCTGAGGAGCTGCTGTGGGGGATGTAGGGCCCGCGTTGTGCACCCTCTCTGGAGCTGGTCTGTGCTCCTGCAGTGGGGTTTCTGTGGCTGGTGGGGAGTGTGGAGGATGCAGGGTAGCACTGATCTGTCTCCTGTGCTGGAGGCAGGGTGTAAAGGCAGGTGTTTACAAATGAAAAGATAATTTCCGACTTGGAAGAATGGGACACGGATAGCTGTGACAGGCTGTAATAGCAGCGGAAGCTGTATTGCCATCTGCACTCAGTGTGAGGCTTAAAATGCATGAGGTAGGTAAATTAGATAGTGGGAAAAACAGATCTTAATGATTTTGGGTGCATATTTCCATCATTTTGTCTAATACAAATATTTTTATCATTTAATAAGATGTTTCCTTAGAGTAGGGATCTGTTTACAAAGCTCTTCTCAGGGAAAAGATATAGTTAAGGAAGACTTCAAAACAGAAGTCATCCTTTGCTTGGATTTTTAGCTGCTTTTTTGTGTGTGTGGTTGAGTACTTTTTCAGTCTCCTTCCCGTATTTCTTTATACTCTCCAGGATATCCAGATGCCCTTGTGGAAGGGGATGGGATACCTGATGGGTTGTTAGTCTGGCATGACAGCTTTCTCAGCTGGGCTGTGATTAGGTTACTTGTTTCTTGTCACAGTGTTGTCCCTGTCACATAGCTCTGAAGGCAGAGTCTGGATTGTAACTAAACCTTGCAAGTTCCTGAGCATGTGTAGTAGCTCTGCAGGGCTTTGTGTTACAGTCTGCAGTGATGCTCATGGGGTGGCTGGGAGAGGCAGCGGGGACTGCATTCCTCCAACCCATCTTCAGGGGCCACAAGGCACTGGGATGCCAAACACCCCTTTCTTTTACTATCTCTTTTTTGTTCAGTCACCCTACAGAAGTCAACAGGGCTCTGGCAAGTTGCTGAAGAGGAGAATCAAGTTCCCCTGCACTTGCTAAGATAAGAACCTGTGTTCTTATATCTGTGGCTCTCAGTGTACAGAGGACCCTTTGTTTCCTGCCAACTGCTCTAACTGGAAGGACTAAAAACTGATTTTGTTTCTGTCCTAGGTTAATGGAGACAGCAAAAGAAATGACCAGGGAGTCTTTACCTATCAAATGCCTTGAAGCAGTTATCCTGGGGATGTATCCTTTCATATGCCTGTGACTTTTCCCACTGCAGTGCTGTTTAGTGTATGTCCTTCCCAGATGTGTTTGAGGTGGTTGCAAGCCAAAGGTGAGTGCCAGCAGCTCAGGGAACTGCCGTGGTACTGGTCAACAAGTGGCCAAATTGGGTGGGCTTACTGGTAGGAGCTTGGATGTCCTGTGCCCAGCCCACAAGTGTCATGCTCTGCCTGTGCCAACCTAGCCTCCTGCCCTGGTAATCTGTGTGATGTCAGGATCTGACCCAAGGTGCCCAGGTAAGCATCTGTCTACACAATCCCTATTTTCTTTGCTAGTATATCGCTGCTGGTTATTGTTGGAGCTTGGTAATACCTGAAGTACACAGGTTCTGTCCTGTTTGTCTAGTGTTTACACAGCAAAGTCATGTTAGGTTTTGTCTCTCAGCCCTGTGCTTTGTGCAGAAACATATGTGTATTACCACAGACTGGTTTGGGTTGGAAAGGGCTTTAAAGCTCCTCCAGTTCCAACCCCTGCCACTAGAACAGGTTACTCCAAGCCCGTGTCCAGCCTGGCCTTGAACACTGCCAGGGATGGGGCAGCCACAGCTTCTCTGGGCACCCTGTGCCAGCGCCTCAACACCCTCACAGGGAAGAGCTTCTGCCTTAGATCTAACCTAAACCTACCCTCTTCTAGTTTGAAGCCATTCAGTTAAACATTTAAGCTTTACCTTAACATAATGCTTGCTTTGTATTCAGTCTCAGAAAAAACCCCAAGAGTATTTTCATTTAGAGACTGACTTGCTTCCTGACCCATTTGTGCTGTCACTGATAAATCAACCTGCATCATCCTAAAGCTCTACAGGAGGGCAAGGCAGGGTTACAGGAATAATCGTATGCTGGATACGTCATACCACAAGTGATTCAGTTTGATTTAAACTAAAAAACAGCCCAGAATAAACCCCAAAGCAAATCAGCTTCTGGCATGTCCCTGTGGCATTTTGCTTGCTGCTGCTGCCCCCTCTCGTGGGTAAAAGACCTGGCACAGCTTCACAGGTAGTGCCCAGTACAGATTCAATCATAGAATCACAGACTGGTTTGGACTGGAAAGGACCTCAGGATCATCCAGTTCCAGCCCTGCCATGTGGATTGACACCTTACACCAGACCTTGTCACCCAAGGCTCTGTCCAGCCTGGCCTTGAGCACTGCCAGGGGCTGAGTTCATGAGAAGGGGTGGCTGCTGTGAGGTGGGAAGGGGACATAGGCTAAGCAAGAGAGTCCTGTCTGAGACTTGGGGCCAGATGCAGTCCCTGCTGCACTAGGAGGTCTGTGGGGCACACTGGCTGCTGCTTTGCACTGTGCTCAGCTCCCCAGTACACCAGGGATAAGCTTCAGGTCTGAGTCTGGAAGGTGGCTTTGGCTGACAGGGTCTGCATGCAGCTACAGGGATGTGGGTCCTGGGGCTTGCCTCAGCAAGAGTCTTAAACCAGTGCCCTCCCAGAAACAGAACTGGTGTCAGTGGATGTGTGGTGCTTACGCTTGTGTCAGGGCTGTTTCCCAAACTGTCTGGATGCAGAAGGGATGGAGGAAATAATCCGTGGGTAGAGTTGATCCTGCTGTGCATGCAGTGTGGCTTCTGGTGCTGTATTTCTAGCAATGGCCTGGTTATTCCACATACCGCATGAGCAGAGGGTGATTAGTGGTGGACAGGTGAATATTCTTGCTGATGTGAAAGTTTTGACTGTTTTATCCTCATTTGGAAAGAGGGATTTGTTCAGCTTGCTTCAACCTGACTTTTGTTCATTTTGAGGGGAAGAGCAACGGTTGAAAGTTACGGTTTATGCTCTTTGGTGTCATCTGGAGTTTCTTCAGACTTTCAGGATTTGGATGAATCTCTCTCTAGGGGCTAAAAGTTGGTTTGTAAATTGAGAAGGCTTAGACCTGTCCCATACCTTTCCCTGTCTGTCTTGCTATGCCTTCTAGTTGCCGTCTCCTGTGTGAGAACAGGGACTGTCTGCTGGGGTGCTGGTGCAGTAACAAGTGTGTGAAAGCTTAAAAGACCCATGCAGTATAAAACCTAAGTATTGTACTTGAGGTTTGGGTACACAGAGTGTAGCAGTGCTGACTGGATGTGCCTTCTGAATACGTGTACTTTGGAAGGGGTTGGTATGAAGCCTGTGCAGAGCATCCTGGTGTTCCCATATGGGTTTTTGGAAGTCATCTTTGTAACTTTGTGGGGAAGTTTGGTGATTTTTCTCAAGCTGTGAGATTCTGATCTCCAGCATTGCCCTCTGGATGCAGGCACGGTGAGGCCAGCACTGTGACTTGCTTCCCAAGCTCAGGCAGTGCCAGATGAGAGATGCGCTTACCATCTCCTGAGTGTCAAACCAATGTCTTCACATATGCCTGAGCTAAGCATCTCTGTGTGCATGTATGTTAACCTCTGGTTCCCTTCTCCTGGAAATAAGGTGCTGTTTGTAATCTGTGTGCTGGCAGGCTTTGCTGTGTTGCTTGGATACTGGAAAGAGCACAGCTCGCTACAGAGGACCCTTGGTGTGAGCCTCCATTCGCAGGCTGACTGGTGCAGAGCAGCTTAGCAAGATGTCATTTTAATTGAGCTGCTTGCTGGCTCGTGCAATTGCCTTTTACTAAGTGACTTCTTATAGAACGCCTCTGTAATCCCTCTGGGTGCAGAATTAAGTTTTGCATAATTGCCTTGCACTAGATCTTACAGCATTTTTATAGGGCAGTGACTTAAAATACCTGCAGCACCCTGTCTGCACACACCGAGGAAGCAGCTGAATGAGATGGCTGAAAGCTGGTACAGATCTTGCAGTGTTATTTTGCAGCAGTCTGCTCTGTGGAGCTGTCTGAACTGGTTTGATGTGTGCCTGGTGTCAGTGCCTGACCCGAGGCAATCCTGCTGGCCTCCCTAGGGCATCTCCCAGCTTGGTTGTAAATCAGCTGAGTGATGGTGCGTTCATCCCATTCTTTCTGAGCAAGGATCCAAGGGACTTGTGCTCAGGAAAGGGGATAGTAAACCAAAACGTGCCAAGGGAATTTTATCCATGCTCTATTCACTTCCTTAAAATGGGGAGAGCAAAATAGCAGAGGAGGGAGAGGGAAGTGGCACAGTTCATCCATCCTCGGGGAGTTTCGCAGAGCATGTCTGTGTCGGGTGAACACAGCTCACTCCTGTTGCCTTCAGCATGCTTCTCCCAGTTCATATGAGGTAGTGTAGCGTATTAGACCTCCCCCTTTCCAATAATATCATTAAATGAGGCAGAAGAGTGCTGGAGGAGGGAGAAGTTATTTAATAGGTTCTGCACTATCACTTCTGCGCATTTAATCAGAGGATGATGTCTATCACCACTGCAGACCTGGGCCCATCCTGCTCCTCCTGCCTAGCAGGTACGATCTTGGCTCAGCACTAGTGTTTTTGGTAAAGAGGAGAGTTTCTTGCAGTCATTGCAGGATACTGATGGTCCCCAAGGTGCCCCTCTGCCTCCTGCAGGCTTGTCCACAGCTTGAGCCACTCGCTAACTGCAGTACTGGCAAGGAGGGTCCTGCTGAATATCTACAGCCCTTCTGGTAGCTGGGAGGAGCTGGTGTGTTTCAAGCTGCTCTGAGCTCTGCAGGGCCTGGCTGCACTGTCTTACCTTTGGGCTTTTCTCCTATGGGGCTCTGAGGAGGAGGATCTGCTCATGTCCCTTGCCCCTGGGGGTCCCTGCGGCTCTGGGTCCCTGTTGGCAGTGCAGGTACGGCTCTCCTCACCAATGTTAGCACAGCCCTTGCTGCCTGTCAGCTTGGCCAAGGCACCAGGTTTCTTTCCCCCAGCTAAACTGTGGAAGCTGGTGTAGACACAGATGGGCTGAGGTCCTTGCAGCGTGTCCCTTGCCTCTGGGTTCAGCTGCTGCGGTTCCTAGCGGTGGTGGGAAAGCCGCTGGTGGTGAGTTACCTGAGCTCATTAGCCATGGGGAGCCAGGGGCTGGCTGGTGGGTGCTGTCAGCTGGTAAGACCTAGTGCCAGAAGTGTTTGAAGCCCGGAGCCACACAGCTGCTGCATGGAAGGGTCCTCCTCTGATTGTTTATTAATAAGAGAAAACAAAAGGCAGGAGACAGCACTTGTTCTAAAGGTTGCTGCTGGCAAACAGGGTGAAGGGCTTCAAGTCTCTCTTCTGACTGGGAACTGCCCTGTGCTCTGCAGTGGGGGCACCTGTGTAGAGAAAGGTATGCACTGTAGGAGGAAGATGCTGAGACTTCTTTGTGGGATCCTTTCGACTTTAGAGCTCACCAGGAGATGGGGAATTAAAAAACCCCGACCCCACACCACAGAAGGGCATTGACTGAGTCATCGTGTGAGTGTGCAGGTTGAAAGAAAACCCATCCAGATCATAGACCCACAGAATGGTTGGAGTCTGAAAGTACCTCAAGATCTTCCAGCCCTCTGCCACAGGCAGAGACACCTCACACTAGAGCAGCTTGCTCCAAGCCCCTGTGTCCAACCTGGCCTTGAACACTGCCAGGGATGGGGCAGCCACAGCTTCCCTGGGCACCCTGTGCCAGCGCCTCAGCACCCTCACAGGGAAGAGCTTCTGCCTTAGATCACACTTAGATCTCCAAGTCTTGCTTGTATTTGCACCTGGGATCTGAATGGGTGCCGAAGTCAACTGTGAGAAGTTCAGCCTGTGGCTCAGAGGATGCTTGTGTTGACTTGCAGGTCTGTAGGAGCTGAATGCTGGCAATGGGAAGTGTGTCCTTTTCTGCAGGCTGTCGGTACTGGTGTGCTCAAGAAAGCCTTCTTGTTAACAGAGCCATGCTGGTTCACTCAGTGGCATGCTACCCCTACACATGTTGTATGTTTTGGGCCCAATTCTTCTCACACGCCTTTGACCTTAACCTGTCACTCTCAAAACCAGTCTCCTGGGGTTAAGAGAGCAGAATTCATTGCCTAAAACACACATCCCTGGTTGGCATGTGTTGGTGTCTCTGTGGGGTGACAGAAATTGAGGTATTGTCCTTGTGTGTTTCCTGGATGTGGGGAAAGAGGAGGGATACCAGGGCAAGAGGTGGCCAGCCAGAAGGTTGGTGTCCCTGTGGTGTGATTTCCAAGGTGATCAGCATCGTGCAGTGCTGTTTTTCTGCTGCTTTGATGTACATGAAGACCCAGGATCAGGAGGCCACAGAGCTTTTGTTTGCAGCTCCTTTTGCCCTCTCCTGCTCTGTGCTGCTCCTCTATAGTGACATGTAATTTACTCCCTGACTCTCCATCCTGCAGTCAGAGTCCCAGCTCAGAAGTGTGATTACAGCTGCGGCGTTGCTGTGTCGTTGCCTTTTGTTTGCCACAATACAGCTCTCCTTGGGCAGAGCAGAAAGGAGAAGAAATAATAATGATGCATGGGTGGAGAGGAAGATCTGACGTGCCTTTCCAGCCCGTTTGCTGTGTATTTCATCTCGGGTGGGGACTCTCATTAACTAGTGGCTCAGCAGAAGCAACCTGTACCTAAAGGTTAATTTCCACAGCGGTTGTTGCTGGGTTATTTGATATTGGGCAATTTCTGCCCTCAAAAGAGTCTTTTACTCCTACTTAGTATTTAATGAGAATAAATTGCAACTTCTCCGAGACCTCGTGGCAGATGTGTGTATGTGTGGCATTTGTGTGGCTTTGTGTGTGGACTTAATAGAAAGGCACTCAGGGAGCAGAGAGAAAACCCTTTCATAATGAGGGAGAAAAATAGTGCTGATGTTTGAAAGCTTCATAGGTGTTAATAAAAGATACTGCTTTTTCAGTTACGCAGAATGATAAATACAATGGCCTTCTGCAAGAAGCTGCCTAGAGGGCACAAATTATTGTAACATGACTTTGATGTATGCGGGATGGTCCTTTTAAGCCCTGGGGCAAGGTGACCTTTTAAATGGGGTGACCGTGGGCTGAGTTTTCCATTGATATAATGGTGCTGGGCCCCATTCTGACCCTGCAGTGTATTTATAATCTTTCATTCCACTGGTGGGTTTTTCTTGGGGAAGCTAGTGACCCAGCAAGACCAGAGCTACTTCTGTGTCGGTGTAGTTGATATAGACCCCCTATACAGAGACAGGCTGAGAACGCTGGAGATGTTCAGCCTGGAGAAGAGAAGCTGCGTGGAGACCTCCAGTGTCTGAAGGGGGCTACAAGGATGCTGGAGAGGGACTCTGCATCAGGGACTGCAGCAACAGGACAAGGGGTGATGGGTTCAGACTGAAACAGGGCAAGTTCAGGTTAGATCTAAGGCAGAAGCTCTTCCCTGTGAGGGTGCTGAGGCGCTGGCACAGGGTGCCCAGAGAAGCTGTGGCTGCCCCATCCCTGGCAGTGTTCAAGGCCAGGCTGGACACAGGGGCTTGGAGCAAGCTGCTCCAGTGGAAGGCATCCCTGCCTGTGGCAGTGGTTTGGAACTGGGTGAGCTTTAAGGCCCCCTCCAACGCAAACCAGTGATTCTATATTGGGGTGAGGTTTGACAGTCGCTGCAGGGTGTTTGTGTTTGATGTGGTGGGGCAGCAGATGGGCAGAGGTGGGCACACGTGGCCGTGGCTGGGCGAGGAGCTGTGTGCATGTGTGGAGGTCTGCACTCTGTTCTTCACACTTGTCCAGACTCGCTGCCATATAGATAGTGAAGTGCAGCAGGGGCTGGGTTCATGGTGTTGTCCATTCCTATATCCTCTAATACATTTTCTCCTGGCTGCTAAAGCTGATGACACGTAGCACTGAGCACAATGAAATATGTTTGACGTTGAGCTGAAAAGCTTCCCTGTGGCTGTTCCGAGACTATTTTTATCTTGTGCTTTCGGGGGTTTTTTTGTGCAGAGGTTTAACTCCTTTGACCTCAGAGTGGGCAGCTCATGAATCTCTTGCTAGTTGCTTTTTGCATTCACCTGGAGGGCCAAAGTTTGAGTATGTGAAATTCAACAAGTGTAAGGTGGGTGAGAATGTGTTAGGGACAGATGAGAACCACTGGCTGCTTTTCCTGCATCCCTGTAGAGAGAAGAGGTGAACTGTGGGGTGCGGGTGGTGGGTCAGCACCCCGGGGAGCTGCACTGCTGGTGAGGTGGAGTGGCAGGCTGGGCAGGAGTAGAACCAAGCCCAAGTTGTGCTTTAGGGTATTGGTGCAAAGGGTTTTTGTTTTCTCAGCTTCCCAGCAGCTGTCAGGCAGCCGTGCTGTGCAGGCAGAGGGGAAGGCTGGCTGCACTGACATCCCAGGGCACCTCAGCCATTCTATGATGCTATGCGGGCAGCACTGCCCCTCCAGCCAGTGTATTTCATAGTGGCACCACCGTGACCGGCTGCCTTGACCCTGTCTGCCTCCGGGGTTAAAGCAGGTACCTCTGGCTGGAGTAACCCCGGGCTGGAGCATCCCTCCTCCATTCCCTTGGCTGCAGTGAAAGGACATCCGCTATCCCAGGGGCTGGTGCCAGCACATGGAGCCGGGGTGGACTTCAGCTGTCCGGGGATTAGCAGCAGGGAGCCGCATGCAGCGTAAGCACTGATGCCTTTAACCCCCCCTGCTTGAGGTTTCCCCTCCCCCTGGCACAGGCCAGCAGCTTCCTAAGGAGATGCCCTGGGCCTGTGTGTAGCTCCCCACTGAGATCACCTACCACACTGTTATGGGCCTTGGCGCTGGTCCCTGCACGTGGTGCCTTTGGAAAGGCCAGGCAGTGATTCGCTCTCTAAAAGTGCTTGCTCCTGAGCATGCCTGTGTGCTTAAGTCATGAGTGATCTGCCTGGGAGCTTCACTTTGTTTGTCTCAGCACGAGACGTTACAAGGGCAACATGCAAAAACACCCCTGTATGAGGAGTGGCCGTGCTGAGGGCCTGTTCATGACGGAAAGGCGGACTCGCCCTGGATGGGAATATATTCAGAGTCTTTTGTGCTGATTGAAGATGTGGGAAAACAAGGTGACTCCTGCCAAGCTCCAGCATGAAATGAAGGGCAGCACTCTTCCCTTTTGGGGCCATGGGATTTTGATGTTGGGATCAAATGGGGGAGTTCCCACAGAGCTGGGGAAGGTGGTCTCTTTCTTGCCTTGCTGACACCAACACTTGTGTTATTTGCTTTTCCCCTCCAAGCACGGTTAAGAGTCAGTCCTTTCCCTGCCTGAACCATTGCATCTTATTCTCCAAGCAGGGTTTTGGCAGCATTGGCTGTTTCTAGGGCGCAGTAACAACAAAATCCTGTCTGCAAGAAAGCTTTTGCCCTGGCACTTACATAAAAGCTGCTAAAGATGTCTAGAGGCGTAACTGTGCGCACTCCTTCCTGTTGTTGCCTTGACGCAGCGCCCACCAGCTACCTAACCAACGGGCAGCCCTCTGTGGAGCGATTCCCCATCAGCTTTAAAACCCACTTCTCAGGGAACTATTTTCATCACGTGGTGCTCGGGATTTACTGCAACGGCCGGTACGGCTCGCTGGGCATGAGCAGGCGGTCAGACCTGATGGACAAACCTCTGACTTACCGGACTCTGAGCGACCTCATCTTTGAGTTTGAAGACTCCTATAAAAAGTACTTGCATTCAGTCAAAAAGGTGAAAATCGGGTTGTACGTCCCGCATGAACCGCACAGCTTCCAGCCCATTGAGTGGAAACAGCTCGTCCTCAACGTGTCCAAAATGATGCGCACGGAAGTCAGGAAGGAGCTCGAGAAGTTTGCCAGGGATATGAGAATGAAGGTAGGTCTGTGGGCCTTGTCCCAGCCTGCACAGGCTGGTTTTGCTCCCTGTCAGCAGGCTGACCACAACCTGAGATAAAGGTGGTGTCAGGTGGGCTGTGGGTTTGCTTAGATCTGTCTTACAGAATCCCAGGATGGTTTGGGTTGGAAAGGACCTTAACATCATCCAGTCCCAACTCCCTGCCATGGGCAGGATGCCTCACACTAGAGCAGGTTGTTCCGAGGCTCTGTCCAACCTGGCCTTGAGCACTGCCAGGGATGGGGCAGCCACAGCTTCTCTGGGCACCCTGTGCCAGCGCCTCAGCACCCTCACAGGGAAGAGCTTCTGCCTTAGATCTAACCTGAACTTCCTCTGTTTCAGTTTGAACCCATCACCCCTTGTCCCTGCAGTCCCTGAAGATTAGTCCCTCTCAGCATCCTTGGATCAGCCTTAGTGATTCTCCCACCAGGGTTTGGCATGTTTTCAAGCTCCTATAGCTATTTGTTAGTTCAAGGGTCTCCCCTTCAGCCTGGGAAACACTTGAACCCATTGTTGTCCCTGGCCATCAAGGTGTTGCCCAGTTTGCTTTTCTCACTGACTCCAGAACCGTGGCTGGGGCTGGTGGGATGGGTGGCCTGGTTTCAGGTAGGGATCTCTGCTCTTTACACCTGAGCTGCAAGGGGTGCTGTGGCACAGGCGTACTGGTGGTTGCTTCTCCTTGCAGGGCATGCTGATGGGCTGCACCACCGATGTCCACCTCCACAGTTAAATCACAAAGCAGATTACATGGGAATGGCGAGGAAAGAGAGTCCCTCACAGGCTGGTTGGTCAGGCTGAAGAGCCCAGAGGGAAATGACAGGGACACAGGGCAGGCTGCCAGAGGGATTGGCTGTCCTTGAGGATGAGGGGTGTCCCTGCCCATGCTGGCATGGATGAGGAGCTGGTTGTGGCCGTGGTGAAGGGGATTTGGTGCCTTTCCAGCCTGCTGCTGGCAGCGGGAGCAGAGCAGGTGTGTTGCTAAGTATGGGGCTGGCTCTCGTGGAGAGGTACGCGGCATCGTGTCCAAGTTATTCCGGGTTCCCGGCCCCTGCCCTCCTGAGGAATGGCTCTGACGTAGCAGCCCTCTGCCTTTCTGGCTCAGGCCCTCTCGCCCTGACCTTGTGGTGAGCATCGCCAGTGGCATCGTCCCTACGCCCTGCTGCCACCTCTCCTGAGGGCCAGCTTGTACCATGCTGTCACCTTAAGCACATGTGCTTGATTACAGACATAATGAAGGAGGGGTTTTTTCCTTTTTCATGTACTTTTAATACCATCTAGAGAGCAAACAGCAGAAGCAGGCTCAAGCTGAAGAAGTCCATACGGACAGATGACCTGCTGAACTTAGTACTTGCTTTTGATAGTGTGTGCTGAGCTGTGACAGTGGGCCCAGTCCTTGTGAGTGCCTCAAGACTTAGGACCACAGCCCTGAACCCTTGAAGACCCTGTATCTGACTCTTCCCTTGAGTTAATTCCGAATTCGAGGTGCTTCCATTGTGAAGAGCTGAATTTGGAGGATCAGGTCTTAAAACCAGCCGGGAGTGTGAGTGTGGTGCTGATGGCCTTCTGAGGCTGCAGGGTATGGGGGATGCAGGCAAGTTGCAGACGTAGTGAAAAGTCTCACTGTTACAGAGAGCTCAGCTGCCAGCCTGGGAGATGATCACCTCTGTGTGTGGAGAGGGTGATTTAGCTGCATGAGTTCCCTTCAACTGAGACTCAAAGCTGATTTTCTCATCCCTTGCGGTCTCCAGCTCTGAAGAAAGCTGTGTTTGAGAGCTCTTTATTCAGTATTTAGCTGGAAACTGAACTGGTGACACCAACTGGTTTTTGCAGGGGGCCTCTGGACAGCTATCACATGCTGGCAGCTTTGGGTTCCTCTCGACCTGGGCAGGGTTTGACAGAGCCCCGAGGGACTGAAGGCTCTTTGTGTGCCATCCCTGGCGCTGTATGAGGCCCTTTATATTTATTTTTTATCTTCAGTGAATCATGGCCTTTATTGGATGCTTCTTCCTTCCCTCCCCCATCTCTTGCAGATCCTGAAACCCTCAAGTGCCCATTCTCCAATGAAAGAGAGATCACGGGGGAAGTCGTTGTCCCCGCGCCGAAGGCAAGCCAGCCCTCAGAGACGGGCCTGCAGGAGAGACAAGTCGTGAGTATCCCTCTGCCATCACTGCTGGGCAGGAGTGGAGGGTCATGGCCTCTTATTTTGCTGTACGAAACCTGGTTGTGCTCGCTGGCACGTGGCTGGTGTCTTGGTCACCAGGGAGGCTCCAGAAGCTGCTGATGCTGCTGGTGAGGAATTGGGGCTGTTCAGCCTGGAGAAGCTGCGTGGAGACCTCAGAGCAGCTTCAAGGGGGCTACTGGGATGCTAGACAGGGACTCTTCATCAGGGACTGCAGTGATAGGACAAGGGGTGATGGGTTCAGACTGAAACAGGGCAAGTTCAGGTTAGATCTAAGGCAGAAGTTCTTTACTGTGAGTGCATTGAAGCACTGTGGCTGCCCCATCCCTGACAGTGTTCAAGGCCAGGTTGGATGTGCCTTGGAGCAGCCTGCTCTAGTGGCAGGTGTCCCTGGCCATGGCAGGGAGTTGGAACTGGATGATCTTAACCAGTTTATGATTCTGTGTTCTGGCATTCCTGTGCTTACTGATCCCCAGTGGCCTCTCTCTGTGGTGTCTGTGGAGGCCCTGATGGCCTTTGCTTGGTTCAGTTCTCCAGGGATTGGATGGCTGGGAAAGTGCAAGTGTGGGGTTTGCCTTCTTCAGCCTTTTACTGTATACTTCCTGGAGAAATGAATGTAGCCTGGGGGACCTGTACAGGGGGGAAAGCAGTCTGGTCACATCTAAGGGTGTTCAGACATAGCTATGAGAAACAGGAGGATGGACCTACTAATGGTGGTGTGGTGCCTGGCTGTCATGGTCACTGAGACAGAAATTGGGGTTCTCTGTGACGAGCCTTTGTACAGCGCTGTTCTGATGGAGTGGTTTGCACTGTGGACTGTGATACAGGAATAGTGAAAAAGTAGACCTTTGCTCTTCCTGCCAAAGCCCAAACATCACTTACATTGTGTTCTCTGGTTCTAATCAGCTTCAAATACCCGAGACCACTTCCCTCATGTGCCACAGCTAATGGTTTAACTGTGTGGGGAAGGATGGACCAACTGCATGCACTACCTCTAAATGGATAAAACTGTGCTTCCAGATCACAGGCCTTTTACAGCCACTGGCAATTCTGACTCCCATCCCTTAGACGTGGAAGAGTCAAGTTTTAGCTGTCCAGCTTCATGCCAGGAAGCTGACAACTGTGCAAGCCTATACATAACACAGATTACTCACATATTTATGATCGTTGCTTTTTAAATAGGCTCCCAGACGACTGTCTCAGCACTTGTTTATTTATTTTCAAGCAGCCAACAAAGACGTGACACTCATCTTCTAAAGATAACTTCAAGACACTTTGGCATCAGATGATTCTACAGCAGCCTTTTATTTTTACACGTGAATTCACACTCGGTCCATGCTGCTGCACCTTGGGCTTCACTGAGAGCTCCTTGTTTAGTGCATGGGTAATTATAGTTGTAATGGGTTTGGCTGCTCCTGCCTTCTCCATCTCCTACATGTGCTTTGAGGAATGGTTTCGTCTTTGGGTTTCTGGTAGTGCTTCTGCAGTTGCTGAAGTGTATCATGGATGTCTGGAGGGCAGAGTGAGTCTCACTGGGCTTTGGAGGATCACCCATTGGGCTGGTTTCATGACTGCTGCTGCTGCAGTGGCTGATTCCTCCTTGGTAGCTTTGCTTTTCCAGAGCAGGAAGACAAGTAAAGTGGTGGTGGCCTTGCAGTAGCTTCAGCCCCTCACCTGCTTGGTGGTCCTGCTGTGCTGCTCTGTACCTAGAGTGAAGTATATGCTCTTCTAAAATAACATGGTACAAGCTCCAAGACCTAGCTATGACATGATGCGGGGAACAGGAGACTGAGAGCAGGCTCCACACACAAGACCTTCATCTCTGCTTGGGCAGAAGGCATTGCAGCATCTCTGAGCAGAGGGGAGCTCCTGCAGCACATGCTTTGTGACTGTGTGACAGCCCTGGGGGTCCTGCACAGCCCCTCACGGGCCTGGCCAGTACACTCTGAAGCAGAAGGGGAGTGAAGGAGCTTTTGAGCCTCTAAGCAGAGCCAAGAGGCTCTTCTCTGTTAGAAAGGCCGTGCCAGGGAGAAGAACTTGGTTCCTGATATTAAAATGATGCTTCTGTGCAGTGGTGCGGGTGGCCTGAAGGCTCATTGTGCCTTTTGCCCCAGCAGGAGGGATGATGCAGAGGAGTGTGCTGCTGTGAGGAGCTCCCTCCTGGTGATAAAACCCTTTCCTTTCCAAAACTGAGATCTGCTGCTTTCTGCAATGGGAAGGCTCTGAGACCTGAAGGGAGAAACAGCATCCCTCATCAGGGATCAGCTGGATGGCATGTACCAACACATGACACAGGGTGGGAAATACAGGAGGGGAAATCAGGTATTTTCTGCCACATCTCGATAGATTTCCCAGAACCGAGTTGCAGTGAGAGGCCTTTGTGTTCCACACAGAAGAGGAAAGGCTTTCAGGCTTGCTAGGCTTTGGGCTGAAATCCGAGCTAAAGAATGGCCGGGCTTATCAGCATTGTGCGTTGTTTCTTTGTGGATCTCTTACTCACACACGCTGTAATTACAGCTTTTCAGAGCTTGCAGGGGAGGGGGAGCGAGTGGTTTGCTCTTAACAGGAGCTGGCAGGGGCTGTGTAACACATTCGTTTGAGAGGCTTCACCTGCTGATGACAAGCTGTTATTACAGCCTGGGGTTTGTCAACAATCAAATCCCATGGGCCTGCAGGGAGAAATCTCCCAGTGAAAAAGACGTGAACTGGAATGGTGAACTGGAATGTCTTTGCTGGATTGTTTCTGAAGGTTAAGGATAGAGGTGGATTTTACAGCCTCAACCCTGTAGCTTCCATTTTTTTAAGCCTGGAAATGCAGCTACAAGGCAGACAGGGTATGTAGCAGGATACGGGTGGCAATGCAATAAGCAGTAGGTGCCTGTCTGTGAGACTGGTGTGTAGTCAAATGGCAGCTCATTGACTGAGCTATGCAACAGGCCATGTGCTCTTAGCCCACAGCTGGTGTGACCCTGCTAGGGGTGGCCACCAGGCAGGATGAATACAGAACATATAGGGTGGTGTCAGTCTGTCTGGCAAATCTGAAGCCTTATTGTGTCCCCTTGTCCATCCTCTGAAGTCCCAAAGCAGGAGGGTGCAGTAAATTGGAAGTGGCTGTGCTGGAACAGTGTTTCATCCTCAACAGAAGTGCTTGGAGCTGGAGGGGTTTGGGAGAGGAAGCTGGGGAGTTTGGAAGGGAGCATCATGCAGCAGCCTGAAGCAAGCTCTGCTCCCAAATGTCAGCTCACCCGATCTATCTCCCTGTAATTTCATACTGAGGCTTTAACAGATGCACGAGTGTCATAGCAACACTGGCCTTGTGTGCTTGTGGTCTGATTTAGCTGTTGACAGCAAAAATCTGTTGGTCCATTCTATTAGGACGTGCAGTGGGGCAGGAATATATTGGGGTTATATTATATTAGGATGTATGCAGGATCAGGCAGCTCACGAGTGCTGTGTACCCAGCAGCTATGCGATCTGACGGGCTGGTACAGCAGAGGCCCCTTGCTTCAGAGGGGATGTTTGGCATCAGGTCATGTGCCAGCCCAGGAGAACAGGGGCTACCATGCTTGTGCTCCAACAGATCCTTGCCTATTCCTAAAACCTCCTGGAGGACAAAGAAGCTAGAGAGTTGTCATGGAGTGCAAACGGGCATGTTGTCATGGGTGTGCATTGACTCCCCATCCCTCTTGGATAATCAGAGAAGGTAGAACCATCCAGGCATGCCGTGCTTTAATTAAAACTACATTCTGGCTTTAATTAAAGGGAGGGAGAAGGGGTGGGAAGAGGATCCCTAAATATGAGGGAGGAAGAAAGGACACTGGAAACTTCATAGTGCATCTCTTGCTGGTCTCAGACTCGTACACAGGCTCTGAGGGATGCAGGTTATAGTTTGTTTTCTGGCTAGTCAAATCCCATCTGCTCTCAAGGAATAAAGGAGGGAAAGTCCAAACTGTCTTCAGGTGTGATCCCTTCCTGCAGTGACAGAGACCACAGAGGGCTCCTTCACTACTATGAAGTACCTACAGACACAAGACAGGGTGCAGGGCGGTACTGCAAAGAAACCCAGGTTGCACTCAAGTGTGTGACTAGGCAGAAGTGCATTAGCTGTCCACAGCAGTGGCTCCAGCTCTCAGATGCTGTGCAGATTCTCACAGAGATGTGGTGTTAGCAGCTCTGCTCTTAACAAGAAATGAAGACTAATTGAATGAAAGAATGCAGAACTATTTCTGAGGCTCTGCCACGCACATGTACGTATGTAGAGATATGTAAGCTACACATCCCCCCTCTTAGGGCTGCAGCAGTGTTAGCATCACGTGTACAAACTCATCTCCTGTACGATGAGCAAAGCTCAAGAGCTGGAAGCCAGATCTGAGGAGCTGTAGGAACGCACTGGAGCCATCACCAGCTTCACATTGTACTGCTTGGGCTTTAAGCTGTGTTTCTGCAGTGGAGTGCACGTGCTGTAGAATCTAGGAGGAGAAATATATTTTAAACCATGCCTTTCTTTAGAAAAGCAAACATACAGCTTAGTGTGAAAATAGCTGAGAGCCCGGAGTAAGGTCCTGGATTAGACACTTCCATAGACTATACATCAGCAGGATTGTTTTGGTTTGACAGCTTTGTAGGAGCTTTTCCATTGCCTGCTAAATAGGGAGAGGCTGATGGCTCCATCTCCAGGTTCACATGGTCCAATTGTTGATACACTTTAATGACCTAACAGCATTCTACCTGTGCATGGGATTACTGCAGGGAATGGCTGGACTGCATCAGAACACAAGGTGCCTGGAGACTGAAAGGAGTTCATCTTGTGTCTTCTGTTTGATGAAAGGTTTCTGTGGGTGAAAGACTGGATGTGAGCGGGCAATGTGTGCTTGCAGCCCAGAAAGTCAATCAAATCTTGGGCTGCATCCAGAGGAGGGTGGCCAGCAGGTCAAGGGGGGGGATTCTGCCCCTCTACTCTTCTCTTGTGAGATCCCACCTGCAGTCCTGCATCTGGCTCTGGAGTGCTCAGTACAGGAGGGACATGGACCTGTCGGAGAGGGTACAGAGGAGGCCAGAGAAATGATCAGAGGGATGGAGCACCCCTCCTGTGAGGAAGGGCTGAGAGAGTTGGGGTTGTTCAGCCTGGAGAAGAAGAGGCTCTGGGGAGATCTTATTGCACCTTTCGGTTCTTAAAGGGGGCTTATAAGAAAGGTGGGGAGAGACTTTAAGCAGGGCCTGTTGTGACAGGACGAGGGGTGATGGGTTTAAACTAGAAGAGGGAGATTCAGGCTGCATGTGAGGAAAAAAATCTTTACAGTAAGGGTGGTGAAACACTGGCACAGGCTGCCCAGAGAGGTGCTGGATGCCCCATCCCTGGAGACATTGCAGGCCAGGCTGGATGTGCTTCTGGGCAACCTGCTCTAGATGAAGATGTCCCTGCTCTTTGCAGAGGGTTGGACTGGATGAGCTTTGTAGGTCCCTTCCAACCCAAACTGTTCTATGATTCTGTTTGGTGGGCTCCAGCCCTTCACATGGACGTAGCCCAGAGGAAAGGGGAGATTCAGAGCAACACCACACTGCGGCCACGTGAGAGGCTTTGCCTATTTGCTCTCAGCTGCTTCCACTTCATTCTAAAACCTGCAGTCGTGCCCTGGGGTAGATCCTGGGTGGGATGTGTCTGCTCTTAACTGCTCATTTAGGCCCTCTCTCAGCTCAGGAGAGGGGCACTCCCAGGACCCCAAGATGGGACAACTTGCTCCTCACTGGTGCTTGGCTTCAGGGAAAGCTCACAGGAATAGCACAGTTACACTGGTTCACCTGACAGATCCAGCAGGATCGTGCTTGTGACGAGGACACTGGATCTAGTCAGCCCTGTTTTGAAGTCAGAGGTGCTCACTGCTCTCTGTGCTCCTGCATGGCTGTGTGGGATTACTGGTGAGCAGAACCCTCTTCCCTCCTTTGCTCGCAGGCCTGCCGCGGTGGACAAGAAAGGAGACCTGGCTACGCTCAACGAGGTCGGCTACCAGCTCCGCATCTAACAAAGCCATATGCTGGACAGAGGGCTTCCTGGTGCTTCCCGCTGCACTTTACCTGCACTCCGGTGGAAGGAAAAAAGGAATGGGACAATTTATTAACTTGTGGACTCTTATGGTGCAAGTTTTACCTAGAAAATAGAATGGGGGGGAATTTGGTTTTGGTGGCAGTATTTATTCTACTTCAACTTATAGAAAAGGCATCAGTGCAGAGGAACCTACAATGAGGTTTGCCAGGATATGACGTTTTTTTCCCCTTCACCATGAAGCAGATGACTCCAGTGGTGTGAGAGTTTCTTCAAATACAAGTATTAATTGAACTGGGGCATTTTGCTGGGTAGTAGCAATGGGAAAACTAAGAAATCAGTATTCTTAGTGTTAAGATGTGCTGGGGTGCAGTGCGGTTAAAACAAATCCTAGTCAGTATTAATATTCAGTTCAGCAATAAAAGCAAGCAGTGCAGAAGTGGCATGAGTTTTTAAAGTCTCAAGATTACCTCACTAAACTTAATAGATATGCAAACCTGTCAGTATTGTTGTTTTGTAACTGATTTGTACTGTTTCCCAGCATTTCTGGTAGTATTAAACCAGCACTGGATGTTTTACTGCCACCTCTATTACTATTTTGTGCATGTTGCTGGAAGCTGTTAAGTAATAGTAATATGCAAAGTGTATTCTTAAACACTGACATCTTATTAGGCAAGATAGGAGGGTTTGGGTTTTTAACTGATGATAATAATGAATTTTTAAACTTTCATAAGTTTTTTATACTTTGTCACAAGCTTTTCATCTCTCTGGACTATTCTGCTGAAGCACAAAACATAGAGATAGCTGTTGTAGAGACAAGCATTCACCTCTCAGTCTGTCTTATTTCTTGTATATGTTCCTGGAATAATGCTAACCTGAGCCCACATGCTTCTCTTTCAGCAGTTGGTGTAGCTTTGAACCTTGTCTTTGAAAGGCTGAGCAGTCTCAGACGGTGATGCCTTGACATCTTATATTGAGATCAGGCATTGCAGGCTGAAGTTAACCTTCTGCCGTGCTGCTGTAGGGAGTTTTTCCTGGATGTGTTGTAGTAATAACAACAGCTTAGACCTGAATAAGGAAGCTTTAATGGCTGAAAATCAAGCTTGTCTGCTTCCTCCCTACTCAGTCCTTTTGTTCTAAGACTTAGCTGAGGACCTCTGATGGACACCGGCCTTCTCAAGTGACGCGGTAAGACTTTCACCGGGGTCTGCCTTTTGCATTAGTGAAGTTCTCTGATGAGTGCTGCATTCCTGAAACTATTTCATTAGGTGCCTAAATAGAAACTGGATTATTGTACAAGTCCAGCCTTTACCCTTTGTGCTGTGCTTGTAGATGATACTGCCATGGGCCTTGTGTACCTCCCCTCCTGGGCACTGACTTTCTTGGGATCTCGATGAAGACATGACATTGTAAGACAGTGACAATAATGCTTACTCAAACTGAAGGATTTAAGCTCCTAGAACACTTCTGTCAGTCAGCAACTGAATGAATACAGGAGATGATTGCTTGTCCACAGACCTCATTGCTCAAAAAAGTCAGTGAATCTCCCCTACCTAGGACAGGAGGACAAAGACCCAGCAACCTTCTACAACCGGTGGAAGGCTTTCTACTAATGAGCTTGCAGAAAGTCTTAGAAAGACTTGTCTAATGTATTACATACACTTGTTTATACAAATTACCATATCAGTTACAGGGAGGCCTTTCCCATTCCTCCTTCTCTCAACTTTCCCACTCCTGTGTTCACCATCAGGATTTGTGTGGTTCAGGAGCGAAGTTGGAGAGAGGGAAATACTCTTTTGGTAGGAATTCCTGTACAATTTACACCAGCGGCAGCGTCTCACTGTTAAACTTTGTGCTGCTTAGTATCTTGTGACCTATACAGGTTTTTTTCCATGTATCCCTTGGATAAAATGATGTGAAAAACTTACTTGGATCAGCTGGAGCCTGTAGCACAAAGTTACCAGATACGTTGCAAGCTTTTTCTATGAAACCATGGTTTACTTCAGCTCAAGTAATGGTGGTTGTGTATAGTTTTTACCACTGTCCACCACACTTGAGTTATTTTAACCTCTAACTTAGCACTGAAACTTTTGAATGCTGTAGAGGCATGTGACAAATTGCTTTTGGTTCCTGTTTTGCAGTTCAGGTGAAATACTCTTCACGATGATGGCATTTGTCTTAAGTGTGGTTCTAGTGACTGCAAAGTGGTCAAATAATGTAGGAAACATGCATGACTTCTGGGCTGGGGTTTTTCTACATCACTTGTATGTTTATGCACAGCATGAAACTTCAATAAAAGGATCATGGTAGTTTGAGGGGTTTCTTTTCTCTTTAAGACTTAGGGTTAATTTTTGTCTCATTCTGTTTCTATTCCAGAAAAGCTATTTGTTGTTTCTAGATTCAAGGGGTGACAAAGCTTATTGGAAAGAGCAGCACTTTTTGTTCCCTGCCTTCCCCTGTTCACCTGCCTGTGTGCTGCCCAGGGTGCAGACACACAGGAGCTCACACTTGTCTGCTGTGGAGATAACACAACAGTCCCCCAGACTAGCAAAGCTCCTTAGGCTGCAAGAGTTGCTACAACTGAGTTGCTACAACAGCTTTTTTAGCTGTAACCTGTACACATCCAGAAATCTGTTGCATTTATTCAAGTCTGTTTGCATTTATCAGCTCCAGCTTTGAGAATACTCATATTTAAATCAAGCAGCATCCAATATCGAATATGCAGTCATCTTCAAGGAGAGGGAAGATCCTTATTCCCAATTATTTATGAGAAAAATATCCCCCCTCCACATTCTTTGGTAAGTAATCATATTTTGTAATGGAACTCTGAAGTACTTTTTCAATTCACCTGGTTTTGGGGTAACTCCTGTACTTACTGCATTATTCTCAAAGCACAGTGTAACTGCAGTTGTCATTCTGCAGTCAGCAAAAGGAATGAACAAACAAATGTTTCTAGGAGCCAAACACATCTGAATGTGATCTCAAGAATGTGGGTGCAGGTTTTTCAGCACTACACTGGAAGACAGTTCTCCAAATGTTACTGTTAAAGCAGTTTTACATACATAGCCACACATAGCTGGACTTGTTTCCTGCAAGTTTACTGTTCAGGAAGTCTTTTAATGTTGGAAATGGTGTGTTTGTTAGTGCATTGTGAAAGTAAATACAAATCTTGATCGTTTAATATCTCAGGATCTGTAATTTTAATATACAGCTTGCCAGTTTTAATAACTCAATGGCAGACCAAACTCCCCCCAGTTGTTCAATGTGTATGAAGCCTCAAGATGTCAAGGAGTGATTGTTTTGTTCCTACAGTAGATCAGGTTCCTTTAGGTTCCGTGCTCATTGCACTTGGCTTTATTTCAGGTAGTCTAAAGAAGATGCCAGTGAATGCTACCCAAAGTTAAGCTTTTAGAAGTTTAAGAAGTAACCTTTAAAAGTGTGCCTTATTGCAAAGCTATCTTCTTCCTTTGGAGGTGTAATCCCGCAGCTTCCAGCCTGACTGCAGTCTAAGCGAATTCCTTTGCAGAACTATTTAGATAGGAGTGTCTACAGAAACTGGTGTAGTAAAACACGATCTTCTTGCTCATTAGAAAACAGGCTGTGCACACAGACACACTTCCCTTTGCTTGGGGGTTGGAGCTAGAGGATCTTAAGGGCTTTTCCAACCCAGACCATTCCATGAATCTATGAAGCAGCACACGGTTCTCAGAATAATCATTTTTACTCTGATTTACAATAAAAACCATTTACAACATGTCCGTGAAAAATAATGCCACTTTGAGGCTGGTACAGGTGTTTTCCATTATCAAAGAGGAAGCAAATGTAAAAATCTTTTATTTTGGCCTTAAAAGCTTCATAAAGTAATTTCAACCTTAAAAAAAAAAAGAGTCTCTTTAAAAAGTGTACTTTACACAACAGTAACAACTCAGCATGCAAAAAGCGGACTGAAACCGGACCAGCAGTGCTTGAATTAACCTTCAAAGAGACAGTGATCATCACATGAAGCAAGAAGGTGAAGGTAACTTCATCTACACAGAAAGTCCTTTGGGTATTACCGTTCAATAAGCCTGAACTCTGCTAGCAAGGGCAGGTGGTCAGAAGAGTTATTTTCATTGGGAAGACCGTTCACAGTCCAAAGATCTTTCTCTGTTAGCAGTGTCAGCCTGCCAAGGAGTTTCAGACCTCCACGACAAGAATCCTCTGCTCCTGGTTAAAACACAAACAGAACAAAACATGGGAACTGTTCATCGTAAGAAAGGGATCTTCCTCCATTGTTTCCTGCTACTACCTACTGCTACTTGCCAAAAGACATGTTGAGCTTCACATTCCCCACCAGCCTCTCCTTGTTGGTGAGAACAAGGTCCAGCAAACAAGCACTCTTTTCACTGACTCCTCATTTATCATCAATACATGCTAAGAACCTCCTGGATTGCTTATTGCTGGTGTGTTGTGTCCCCCCACCGAAGACCAGGGCTTGTGAACATGAGGCTGCTCCTATCTGTCTACAGAGGACCTCATTTGCTCAGTCTTCCTGGTCAGGTGGCGTGCAGCAGACCCCTACTCTAAAGTCACCTGTACCTGCCCAACCTTTATTATTACACACCATACTTAAAACATTTGTTCCCTCATTAAAGAAGAAACTCAGCAGTGCTGAGGAACGGCTGGACTTGACTTTAAACGTCTTTTCCAACCTGGTTGATTCTGTGATTCTGAAAACCAACCAACAACAAAAAACAACCCCCAAAACCAAACAGAAAACCAGCCTATTCCATTGAGAACAAAATCCTTCCATCATGCATCAAACTTTTAGACTTCTTGATCTACTCGAGCGAGCCAACTAGTCAGCAACCCTAGCTGTTGCCTGCAGAGCACGGGGATGACGCTGAGCAGGTTGAGTGCTTTCAGGGCCAGCACGAACAGCAGCTGTAACTTTGACAGAAATACTTTCTGTATGGAAGTGATCAGCAATTCCAGGACTTCCTGGCTGAAGCTGGTGCTTACCAGCAGGCACATTTTAAAGGATTATCCAGCAACTGTTCAACTCCTCACATAGTTCAACAGCTTCACTCCTTTGGCACCTGCCAGCTTTGCAGCCCTCTAACAACCCAGCAGCTGTTTACTGCTGCTCTGAAGAAAAGCTTTTCCACTGTGAAGATGCCTTGGTAGCTTCAGAGCACACACGTCCTTGCGCCAAATGTATCATCTGGCACAGCACCTGCATGTCTGCAAAGGAGCAGCTTGTTGCTGGAGAGAGCCTGGCCTGCATGCAGTGATCAATGTCAGCTCAGAGCACTCTGCAACCGCTATTACTTAGTTTTGAAGAACTAATGAACAAAAACTACACCAGTTTAACCTGGTTTGAGAATTCCAGGTTTGTCCCATTCTGTACTGTGATGTGAAGAATCTATTTGAAAAACAAGTGCAAAAAGGAAGAAGTGCTATAGCTCTGCTGGGGCAATGATGGTGCAACAAAATAGAGAAGCAAGTGAATTAAGATTAAGTTGTGCACAGGATGCACTTCTGAAATCACACAGGATTCAGAAGTCATTTAGGTACTTCTCAGATCCCGTTTTTTCAGTCAAAGCTTTTATTTCTGTATTGTGAAGCTTTTGTATGTGGTATTTTACATTAAGGTAGTACTTACTGTGCATGTTATGATAAATGAGACTTGTGCATTGACTCACTGAATTCTAACAATCAAGTCTCAATGCACGAGAAATGAAAGGGGTATTTTTATTTCACATATTAGAAACAATGTTAATTTATAAAAATCAGTTGCAATCTACAGTGGGAGCAGGAGTCGAATCCAGGTTTCTTTGTTCCAACTTCTGCAGAGCCATTAATCTGATAGCACCGCACTGTGCAGTGACCTTTGATGATGGCATAAAACACAGAACTATTGATGACATGGAAAGCACACTGCTGGGAAGTATCCACGGTAAGAGCACAAAGCAGTAAAGGATGGATGTGTTACCCATCAAGAAACACACCCGCAGAGGTACCGTGTCTTTCTTGCACCATCTGGTGAGTTCTAGCTGCAACTACAATCAAGAGTGTGACAACTGGGCACGGGCAAGCGACTGCTCTCAGAGCAAGAGAGCACAGAGGTCATCTACTTGACAGATGTTACATCAAGACTACCTGAGAAGTAACTAAGAAACCCTTTTAATGCACATCATAAACTGCTGTTTGCCGTTTTCATGACTGGATGTGACTGGAAACACTGCTTTGTTGTTGGTTCACTCACCACCATCCTGCAGGACAGCAGTAACTCTCAGGTGCTACTTACACTGCTGCTTTTCTGGGGCCTTGGGTCTTTTCTCCATGCTGAGATGGCAACTACAGCAATGGTCAGTTACGTGGAAAAGTTTGCCCTGTGTGGCACTACAAGCCCAACTGTGGTGAGATCACAAGCCCAGCCTCATTCCTCAGATAGCAGCTGACATTTAAAGCACTGCCACAAACCTCTGAGGTAATTCATATGTATTGAATTATCACTGCGTTTCCCTTGGAACAGCATCCTAATGCTCCCATTTAGCACTTGGTGAAAACAATCAGAAAGTTGTTTCTTTACCTGGCTGGGCAGCAGCAGCATCGTTTGCTGCAGAATAGAAAATGTAATCCACGGTGACAGCACTTCGGGAGTGACAAGTTGTTACTTCTGGGATCCCAGTTTCAGGAAAGTAATGAGAATAGACCGAAGACAACTTAAAATGGTGCTGCAGTTTTGAAGACACCCTAAACGGGAATCAAAGAAAAGAACCTTATTTTCTTGTCTTTCCTAGAAAGAATGAGCAATGAAGTTCCCAGCAACGTCACTACAGAGCAAATGTTCTGTTTATGTCAAGAAGTAACTAAAAATGTCAAAGGCATTTTCTAATAAGCAGACAGAAAGTACCCCCTAACCAGCACTGAGACCTCGCCTCTGCATTCTGAAACAGTATCTGCAGGTTCCTGCAAGAGCCCACACTCCATTAATTCCAGTTCTAGTCCTTTGCTGCCTGATCAGCCTTTGCATGTTTAAATGGACGACGATTTTTAACTCAGATGGGCAAGGCTGGGTTGGGTGAGCATCTTCTATCCACATCTGGAATCAGAAACAAGTTTGGCTTAAGCACAAATTCCCCAACTAGGAATTCCGTTTTTTATCCCCCAACACATACCTTTCAGATGCTATTACAGTCTCCTGAGCATTGTCCGGTTTTCCTGCTTCCAATTTTTCTCCTGTAAAACAAAAATACATTCAATTTGCATTTAAAAATAGGATGTAAGCAAGACCAGTATTGAAGATCAATAGAAAAGAAAAGCTAGACACAAGTATCTTTGCAGAAGGCAAGATATAAACTAGATTAAATTCTTCTGTTCCATTTGTAATATGCTCTTCCAAGACTTCCAAATTATATCCCGTTCATTTAAAAGTGGTGGATGAAAGATGTAGTAAGGAAGGAATCACTTGCTCTTCCCACCTGTTCCATAGATTTCCTTCACTGTAATACATAACCACTTGAGCAGAATGTGGGTTCACACTACATACATGTGCTGCATTCTTCCATCTCTCTTCTCCCAGTCACAGCATAACTGGCTTCCATGATTCAATCACAGTAGCTTAAAGAATATGCACCAGCTCCTGAAGGGCAATTTCTATTATCTTCTAAAGATTCAAATTTGCAAATGCTTATGTGAGCTATACCTTCACACTCAAATGAGCCCAACAGGGAAGTCTGGCAAGCTAAACTCTCACTGCTTTCCCCCTCTACTAGAACAGAACATGTTTTTCAGTGCTACCCAAATGATGTTTTCAAAGGTCCACAAAATTCATCAACCCAGCAACTGACCTGCACTCTCTTCTTTTTGTTGCTGTTTTATTTCATACACACAGTTTTGTGAAATACCCAATTTTTGGGGCCAGATTGGGATGGATAAAATTCTTTGGCCCCTTGGAAACTGTTCTTGTCCAGAGACCTAAGAAAAACAACACAAAATGAGTGGACTTTTTATAAGTTTAAAGCAAATAAAACCCACAGCCCCTTAGAATAAGTCTTTTATAATGGCTTGTCAAAGTAACAACAACCCTCATGCACACACACCCCCTTTGGTTTTGCAGCTGCCTGATTTTTCAAGCCAGTTCTTGTGACACTAAGCTGAGATACTACCAAGAACACTTATTGACATAACAGGAGTGAGTATACACAGCTCCCCAGCAGATACTTTTTCTTCACAATGCTTATTCTTCTGTGAGCAAGTCAAGTTGAAGCAGGGCTTGAAACAACTACTCACTGGCAACAGACACCAGTGGGGCTATTTTTCCCCATGTTTTCTCATTGTATGTACTCCAGTTACTTTCTATTAAATAGCATTTGACACATCCAACAGCTACATAACAAGAAGTTACAACAGAAACCATCTAACCTGAAACAGTTTAGATTCAGCATACAATTGCATTTTTGCTTTTACAGTTATTCTAGCTACTGTGATTCAAAGCTTATCTAAAACAAGAATCATCTTTCCATGGAGTACACAGTAGGTGTTTGCTTAAGTACTTATTTTATCCTATTTAAAGACTGGGACACTTAAACACAGTGATACAAACATCCTGTAATACTTATAATCAGCATCAACCTTTACCTGTGAGAAGTGAAAAGCATAGCCTACCTTTCCTATGGCGAGGCCTTCATAATTTAACTTCCCTTCCTTTATAAATCTGTACAATGGAGAACCAGGAACAGAATTGAAGTCACCACAGATGATAATTGGACAGAAGGTACCATCCTTCTGAGCAGCAACACTAGCAATCTCTGCCAGGAGGATTGCAAGTTGGGTCAGCTTGATGTCCCCGCGCCTTGGGTTATACAGCAGATGTGTATTGGCTATACAGATTGCAGCGTTAGTTTTACAGTGAGATCTAGGCTGCAAAAGCAACACCAATCCCACATTGTCCCTGTCCAAGAGTGGAATATCATGGCGAAAGAATTCCACGGGCTTTGATGAAATCAGGCTAAATTTGGCAGTTTTGAAGCAAATAGCACAGCCATCAGGTTTCCTCCCTGTCCTCATTTTATACTCACAGTGATACCCTGCAAGAGAGGCAATGACAAACATAAAATATCCTTGTATAAATAGAGATTATCTCAAGAAATAATAAAAACCTTTTTGCCCTCTCTAGCTTCAATTTAGATACTATGGGAAACCTGTTCTAATACCTTTTGTGATGTGTCAGCATCTATTTAAGATACCAGGCATATTCTTATGCTTCATCCCTGGCAGTGCTCAAGGCCAGGTTGAACAAAGCCTTGGGCAACATGGTCTACTGTGAGGTGTCCCTGCCCATGGCAGGAGGGTTGGAACTGGACGATCTTAAGGTCCTTTCCAACCCAAACCAGTCTGGGATTCTGTGATCCTTTCCTCATGTGGAGGAAAACACCTACCAAACCAAACCAAGAAAGAAGTCCAACAAGTCACATAAAAGTGGACTTGTGTATTTTTTTCCTGTTATTCCTAAACCACAATGGTTTAGGATTAACACCAATGAAGTGTTCCAATCAAAAGCAATAATCACTGTAAGTCATAAATCATAACTTTAAAAGGATTCATAGAACAAAGGCCTCAAACATAAAGGTCTCAAACATACTTACACAGCTATGTAGTTCTAGGCCACGTGCTCCTGCCACTTGTTGTGGCACTCACTAACTCAGTGTATCAACAGAAACTAATCCAGGAAAATAGAATTAGTCTGGATAGTATTCTGCTGGACTGGTGGATTTCACCAGGGCAAAGGTCTAGTGAGTGCCAGAACTAGCCCAGGAGAAGGGGCAGAACATGCATCTGAGAGCTAGGGAGGGGAAGAGCTACAGCAAGCTCCAGATCCCCATGTACAGCAGCAGAAAGCTCAGCTGCCCAGATGAGCCTGGCCTTACAGTGTTGTTCCACATTTCAGGTGGATAGAAATCAGTACTGCCATTACTCTACCTTCTTTACATTCAGTTCGAGGAGCTAGGCTGCCTCAAAGTAAGAAGGAAAGAGTATCAATCCAGTGCTGCTCCTTGAACTAGCTACTCCTGGCATCAGACAAGAACCTGTGCCAGGAAGCAAGGGGGGCCTGGGACTGGAAGGAGATGTAGAGCACAAAAGATTTAGATCCCTTTAAACCACCATGGAATGACATCCCTAGCAAGATGTTCCTTCCATAAATTCACACAGGAGAGTGGTAAGACAGTGCTATTTAGGCTGACTGACAGTACTGTATAAAACCAAATTAATACAAACTGACCGTGGTTTAGTGCTGATGTTTGGAAGATTTCAAGCGAGAAAAACAGGCCCTAGAAAACAACCCTATCCAATGGGAATTCTGATAGGAAACACTTAAGGTAGTTTCAGGAGAGCACTTAGTGAATTTATAAAGGGGGCACACAGCATTATTGCATGTGATGGAGGCAAGCTTCTATTAAGCTAAGGTTTTTGAGGAAAATTTACTGGGACAGGGGAGAAGACAACACGCTGGTCATAAAGGTTTTATCATACCCAGGGATTCCAAACTTGACTTGATCTCTGTTCTATAGTGGTCTTCTTGGACTTCTTGTAAACAGAGTACCTGAAGCAAAAGTTCACAATTAGGAGGTTAGTAAATCTATCAAAATATTACCACATCACCTCTGTTGGACACTCTGTATGGGTATACTGTAAAAATAATAATTCAGAGGCTTTTTGCCTTCATAATTCCACAAAAGGGTTCAGTCTCCTATAGAAAGTGCTCCTTAAGATCGGGAAGAGGGCCCCAATTCCTCCCACGCTCTCTCAGCCAGCTGCACATTTTCAGATGTGAAATTCAATTTAGTCAAAGTAGTCACCTGCTAATACATTCCCAGCAGTTTAGGGAAGGGCTAAGTGGCACAGCAGTGGGATGAAGAGGCCAAGGGCACACTTCCTGTTAAGTACAGAGTGGACAACAAGGTTCCATATTATAACCTGAACCAAAGATCAACCTCAAAATACGCCATTACAAGAGTTCTGGGTATCTTGGAGCCTTCTGTCTGTACACTGCAGTACTGATTTACAACCACCTTGGGACTCTGACAAAGGGTGTGCCAAAAAGACCATTCCAGGAATTATGGACAAAAAAGATAACTATGAGTGGCACGTACTGTAGAGTTTGCCTTTGCTCCAAGTTCAGACTGCAGAGAATACACTAATTGCATAAGCATAAATCAAAGCTAGTGTTAAGCATGACACATCTAATAGCTCAGCTGGATTCACTGGACAACCCACCCATCAAAAAGAACAGCAACAATTTGCTACTGCAGTTTATCAGTCCTAAACAAACGTCCACGTGCTCACTGTCTACTCACATCTGCATCCAGCTGTTTGATTTCTTGCAGAATGTTGGGAAATCTGTATGTCCAGATTAACAGTCGTTGCCTGCAGTGTCTGTACAGGTGGGAGTTATCTTCCAACAGATTCTGTGAGAGGATATTGTAAGACATGACAGTAAAATCAAATTTTGCCTCACTTTCTGTACTGCTTTGGTCAGTTTCTTTGTTTTCAATGATTTTCATTGTTCTGCTGTGCTGGCAAAAATATTCCCAGTGTCTTTTGATGGTTCCTGTTAAAAGAGCGTGAAGCATAAAGAATTATGTAATACACCATATGAGTTCTTACTGCTCTTAGAAATCATTCTGCTGACAACTATTTGCCCTTGCTTAATGAATTCTAAAAGCTTATTTGACTAGCAGTGATTTAGAACATGGTTCAAGATGAACTTTATATAAGCATCAGTAAAAAACTGAACCAAACAAACCCAAGCCCAAAAGCACAGCACAAAATCATTAGATGACCTGGATTTCAAACTGCTTTGGTATGTCCCAAGGAAATGGTTGTGGTCAGACTACGCCACCCTGCTGCTCCCTGTAGAAACGCTGTCAAACTGGTAAGCCAAATCCAGTCTGCTGACACAGTGTTACGCTGCCTTCTGCTGCTGCCTCCTCAGTGGAGATGGGGTATGTCAGTCTGAGATACACCCTTAGAACAGGACATGGGTGTCTTGATCTGCCTATACATGACTAAGGAGGAGTTAGAAATCATGCAACATGTTCACCTCTAGCCTGTGTACAATCTGAGAAACTCAAGACAAGCTGCAACTGGGTCCCAAACCAGATAATGAACCAGATTTGAGATTGAGAAATTAAAAACATGAATAAACCTCAGAATTACCAACAATTTCTAAAATGGCTTGTTTTGCCTTTCTGCCATTCCTAGTTTCATACTTACTATACGAAAGTTTTTAACAATATATCTGTCCATCATTAAGTATCCAATTATTTTTCAGATATGTATTTCTCCACTTGCAAAATTCATGAACCAAGTGGCTTGGAAAGAAGCCAGCTGAGGTCCAGCAGGGCTTACAGCCTCAGATACAGTAGCAGGAACGAAGCTATATACAACTGCCAGCCCAGCTCAGCCATGTAGCAAGTTATCCACATCTATTTTAAGATTCCCTAGTTCACAGACAGGATCTGGCAAAAGACACCTGAGAGAGTTGTCTGAACCAAACTCAGGACTCCTCAGGAGGGCAATCCTCCCCATAACTGACTGTGTTCTACTTCCAGCCACAATGAACCTAGCACTGGTAGGCTGTGTGGCAGCACAGAACGCAAGTGTGACACACTGAACAGCATTACAAACTGTAAGGCTTTTAAGACAGATGTTTTCTTGACCAAGGAGCCAAGAAAAACAGTAACTCAAAAGGTGCAGGCAAGATTGCTTATAGCTTGTTGGATGGGTTTAGCTTTACAGATAAAGAAGGAAAACGAGCAAAGGGCACCTTTTACCTTTCTTGCTGCTACGTTTTCCTTCATTCCGTGCTACAGAAAGACACAACGCTTCCTTCTGATCGGAGAAGTTTGTTTCTTTTTCAGGAGCTGAAGTATCATGCTGGCCACTGAGTCTTCTCTTCTTTGTCAATGGCTCTTCTCCCTCAGATTTCATACTGGGATTGGGTAGGTGAAAGCAAGAACTTTGCATGAAGTTATCAAGCTGCCAATTACAGTTCTGAAACTGTCTCCAAGGTCCAAAAAATGGAGGGAGTCTCCAGTTTGCTGAGGAATCAGCTGGAACGGGAAGTGGAAACGAGGCCCAAGGACAGTGTCCGGCCCATCTCATACAGCTGTAAACCGGGCTGCTCACGGTGAGTATCTGAGGACCATTCCAGTGGGCGATGCAGTCTCTGCCCAGCCTCTGCACATGACGGGCCAGCATGGGGGGTCTGCCAAAGAAAACAGAGATTGAATTACCTACACTCAAGTCATCCTGGTCATGGCTTATACAAAATACTCTGTGTATTCGTCCCCTTCAGATTTACAAATGCCATTTCATTTCCAAACAGTCTGACTGAATAACTACTTACAACTTATTTTCTGCCTTGCTGAATTCAACTTCAGATCTTTCAGGTGCTCAGTGGAACGACCTTTACAACAAGTCATTCCTTCATGCAGCATTAACTTTATGATAAAGCTACTTGAATCAGAAACCACTTTCCTTTAAGTTGCTTAAAAAGCTGTTGACTTGGATCAAGCCACAATGCCAACAGGACAGGGAAACAGAGGTACTAACTCTCATGGAATCTCTGGCAACAGCTTAAAGACTTGGATTCTCATTTAATTTCCAGGTGGGAAAGCCACAGCTTAGCAATTAAAGCCATGAAAATAAGGGGGAGGTTGGTTGGTTGCTTTCCAGAAAAGAAGAATGTGTCAAAACCAAATACAAAGCAGGAAGGATGTCTGAGGGCCATCGCTCTGCCCCGGCTTCCTCATTGTTTAAAAAGGAAGGCGTATTTTGAGCTTATAAACAAAAGACACTGAAGCTTGTGCGTCTGAAGTTGAACCAAAGCGAGAACCTCCTCCCTGCCGTTCAACCTAAACACAGCGTTCAGCAAAACCCGGCTTGTCCGCAGACACCCACCACGAACAGCTCGACAGGCACAGGAGCACAACACAGCCCAGGGCACCTCGGCGATAGGATGGAGCAGGCAGGCAAGCGCCGCCGCTCCTTTGGGAAGGCTCCGGAGCCGCCTGCTCCGCGGAGAAGCGCCGAAGCGGGGTCCCTTCCTCGGCGGAACCCCGCACCACGGCCCCGCTCTGCTCTACGGGCCCTTCGAGCTGTCAACCGTCCGGCAGGGCCGCTCCGCCGCGGCCAGGCCGCTCCCCGGCCCCTGCAGCCGATCAGGCCGGTTCCAACGCCGCCGGCGCCACGCCAGCTGCAGGGAGGCCCACACGGACCCCCTCGGCCTTCGGGGGTTGGAGAAGGAGGATGAAGACCGGCCTCCACCGCGCAGCCAGCGCCGCACGGTGCCCTCCGGTACCGAGGCGGCTGCAAGGCCAAGCGCGCCCCCCCCCCCCCCCGAATCCGCTTACCTCCCGGCAGGCCCCGGTGCGGGGCCAGCCCAGGGCAGACCCGCTATCGGCTCCGCGCACCCCCGGTGCCCCCAGAGGGGGTCATTCCAGGACAGCGCCAGCTCCGCCCGCCGCAGCGTGCCCGCACCAGCGACACCCGAACCCGCCCCGCGGCCGCCCGCTCGCTCCTGGGACTTGTAGTCCGAGGGCTCACGGCGCACCCCGCAGCCATGTTTGATCCGAGAGGGCGGGGCCAGAGCCCGGCCGCCATCTTGGGGCCGGGCGCGCCTCAAGGGGAGGTGTGAGGCGGTGCCTCAGCTGAGGTGGGGGGGGAGCCGTTGGGGGACAGCGCTGCAGAAGCGGGCTGTGGGTTGATGGATTTCAGGCTTTTTATTCTTTTAAATGGTTGCAACGCTGTGCTAACGTAGTATTTTACGTATAGCAGCATGTTTCTGCGGTTACTGTGTCTCGTGGGGTCAAGGGAGAGCTGCCCTGTGTTTTAAGGTACCTATGTTAGGGCAGCAGCATCGTCTTTAATGCTTGCAGAAACTGAAACTCTGAGACAGTGTTTTAACATTCCTAGGTTAAACCGCACCTGAAGATGCACAGTTCGACAGAACCTTGAGCAACTTGCCCCAGTGTGAGGTGTTCCTGTCCATGGCAGGGGTTGGAATTGGATGCTCTTAAGGTCCTTTCTAACCCAAACCAGTCTGGGATTCTATGATTATATGCTCTGCTGAGACCTGGCCCGAGGGATGGGTGGAAGAGCTGCCTGCCCTGCAGACGGACCCACTGCTGCTTACCAGCTGCATAAACAGCCCTCCCTATCTCTGTCGATGTTGGTTAAGCAGTTAACATGCTTCCTTGAGGTCGCCTAAGGATGGAGTAAATGCTGGCTCTGTTTACTGTAAGGAAACATAGTACAGAGCATATGAAATACAATAGTGCTGAATAGCGCGGATGCTGCGCAGGCACTGCAATCATGTCCAACACTGCTCTGCGTTCCTTTGAATAGTGCCATGGAAGTGGCTTTAAACAACAATAACTGTAAGGTTTTTGCAGGAGTGAGAGGGAAGACTGAACTAGAAAAATGAGTTAGGTAAGGGGAGTGCTAGTTAGGCAAGATGTCAAATCCACCTCGGGTTTTCCGCTTCTTGGATGCAAGTTACTGATGAAAGGTAAAAACACCCATCCATTTTCTGTTAGTTTCTTCACACTGTAATAAGAGAGCAAAGCTATTAGCTGCATAATACGTGGGTAGTACAAGACTTCCCAACTGTGTTTTCCAGACCTGTACTGGTCATTTTTGAAGCATTCTTATGTATTAGGTATGTTTCTAAGATAGAAGACAGTAAGCCATAGCTATAGCAACAACAACTGCTGTTATTTTTAGGAGCAAAGGGAATCTTCCTATGGAATGCAGTTAGTTTCTTTATTTTGACCTGTGTAAGACACCCAAGTTGTTTTGCCACTTCAAAGGTTTTTCCATAGCAGTCATCTCAGTAGTGATGCTGGAAAAGGGAAAAGGGTAAAGCTTTTTTAAGGTAAGCTTTAATGAAAAGGAAGATATGCTGCTAAGCTTAAAAGTGAATTGTGTAAGAAGCATAATACAATGTAAGATTAACCTATTAATACAATGCAAATTATCTCTCATCTCAAAGTTGCTATTATTTCTTGCCTTGATCTAGGAAAGCCTTAACAAGCCAGTAACACTCAATTGTGGACATTTAGTCTCCTCTAATTATTATTTTGTGTATCTAGGTTGGTTGCACCATGTTCAGAGATATTCTTCAACATGGTATCTCCAAATTCTGGTTTGTAACTAGAAGCCAAATTACTTTATGAGTCATTTGAGCTTTCGAACTCCCTAATGAATGGAGGCTCACCGAGGGATGTTTTGATTGATTATACTGCACATTGGAACAGCCGCGGTGGTTCAGATCAATGGTCCAGTGAGCTCAGTTTCCTGCTTTCTAAAAGCGGTTAGCAGCAGATGCCTAGAGGTGTGCAGGGGCTGAGTAAACTTCAAATGAACACTTCCCTGCCTCCAGCTGTTTCCAGCTCAGCAGATTTCCTAAGCCTGGTGTGTTTGTCTCTTTAGTTACTCTCAGTGACTCTCTCACCCAAGTACTTGACTTTGCAAACGTTCTGCATCAGCAGCATCCTCTGACAAAAGTCCTGCGGGTCTAGCACTCATCATATGACTTTATTATCGTTTTATGACCTCATTCATACCAACTTCACTGGCCTTTGGTTCTGGTGCTAAAAGAGACTAAACAGTCCATCCCTGTCCATCTTCTCCATGCCACTCATGATTTTCATGGACCGCTATCATGTCTCTTCATATTATTCCTTCTTCCACACTGAAAAATCTCAGACTACTCCATTGTGCTGCACAAGGAAACTGTTCCATATATCTGATCATTTTTATTGTCCTTCTTATTTCAGGCATGGAGCGATGCAGTTGCAATATACTCTTCTCTGTCTTGTTCTCTACTCCTACTGCTTCTTCTCCCTTCCTCCTCCCACCAAACTGCTAGCTTTTGAGTTACGAGATTGAAGTGTGTTTTCAACTAGCTCTTTGGTTGTTTTTTGCATGTGATACCACTGCATCTGAGTAGCTGAAAGCTACAGCTAAAGTTAAAGAAGATGAGTATAAAACCGTGTCCTTCAGATCATTCTGTCCAACCCCTTCAATTCTGATCTAAATTTCACATCTAAACAAACCTCACATGAGGTTTCCTCACTTGTACTTTAAAACTACTCCAAACAGAAGATCTCCTTTTGGAAAGTCTCTTGCAATGAAACTTCAACTGGTATAAGTGGTATAAGAAAACAATTGCTATCTAATGGAGTTTGATGCATATCTTAGCTTTGGGACATGGGAACTTGCTTTAGAAGAATGATGATCAAATTCCTTGTCATAGTTACTTCCATGAAATTAGATGTACCCAATGCGAGCTTGTGCTTCCAGGTCTATGGAAGTGAATCTGATCTAGAACTCAGATTAATGTGGTTATAGGTGGTGACCTTTCATTTACACAGCAATGACTGAGGATGTTGTAAAGATTCACAGTGCATTTCAGTTGTCCTCAAAGGAGAAATGCTTACTATGAGCTTCAGTAGGAGAGTCTCTGATCTGTTACAAAGAAATGCAGTTAAGTATTTTTCTTCATGTCAAAGACCTGCATGAGACCAGAGAGACCTGGTAATGAAAAGATGATTTTTTTAACATCTGCTGTTAAATGATGCACAATGATAAAAAAAAGAGAAAATAATCCTAACAGTTTATATAATCTAAAGTGTGATCTCTATTTGCATAGATCTACCTTTGAATAGAGCCCACTACAGCCAAGCAATTGAAGGTACCTATAATCTTACAGAAGGAGAGTGTCTTGCAGCACATGCCAAACCCTGGAGAGTTCCCTCACCCCGAAGTGTTTTGCAGACCTACGTGTACATGAGGGCCCATCTGCAGGAAGGAGTCCGGGTACAGCTTAAAGAATCTGGAAAAGATATTAAACACAAAACATGGAAATGCAGTAGCCATCGAACTTGCCTTTCTGTGAGCATTCCTCTTTGAAATCCATTAGTCATTTCTGTGTTACAAGCCTTTAAGGCAGCATATCTGAAAATAGCTCATGGCAACGCTGGAATTGGCAGACCAGCTCTGTCAGTGGAAGGTCTTGTTAAAGATCTGTAGACACCATGTGGGTGCCTGTATCTGAAAGGGGCTTGGTGGTCATTGCTAAGTGTAAACCCCTCACAGCTGTGCCCTAACAGAACACCTTTAACTCTCTCGAATTGACTGTAGGAGAAAGTTCAGAGGAGGCCATGAGGATGATCAGCAGCTGGAGCACCTCCCGTATGGAGACAGGCTGAGAACACGGGCTATTCAGCCTAGAGAACAGAAGCTGCGTGGAGAAGCTTCCAGTGTCTGAAGAGGGCTACAAGGATGCTGGAGAGGGACTCTTCATCAGGGACTGCAGCAACAGGACAAGGGGTGATGGGTTCAAAGTGAAACAGGGCAAGTTTAGGTTAGATCTAAGGCAGAAGCTCTTCCCTGTGAGGGTGCTGAGGCGCTGGCACAGGGTGCCCAGAGAAGCTGTGGCTGCCCCATCCCTGGCAGTGCTCAAGGCCAGGTTGGACACAGGGGCTTGGAGCAAGCTGCTCTAGTGTGAGGGGTCCCTGCCCGTGGCAGGGGTCTGGAACTGGATGAGCTTTAAGGTCCTTTCCAACCGAACCCATTCTGTGATTCTATGACCACGACACCTTGTCCTCCCCCATGCTGGGGGGGTGGGAAGGCCACATCCAAGCTGCTCGTTAGGAACCGGGATACTCATAACCGGCAGCTGGAAGCAGTGTCTCCATCTCCAGCCCGCCGAGGCTCAGCCTCGCCCAGCCTCTGAAGCATCCATAAGTGGCACCGCGCCCGCCCCTCCGCAGCCGCTGCTCTCC